TGCTATGATTCAGCAACTCAATTTTTGAAGGACCACGTAATTTGTAACATTAGTTTAAGCTTTGATTCTCAAAATGATTTTAAAAATTTATGGAAGTTTCCCAACTATTTATTGCTGAACGAGAATTTCAATTTCTCACTTAAAAACCTTCTCATCAATTTCATTAAATCATCAAGATTTGATAAAAATTCGTACTTACTTTTGACGAGTAAAATCTTTCAGATAGCCATGGAAGTCGACCGTTCGATAATACATAGCTTCAATTTTTTAGCTAAGAATATCCAGAAGGAAATACAAAAATATTCCTCATAGTAGCAATGATAACGAGGGAATCTTTCAAATTTTATTAGACTCCCTAAACCAATCGAAAATACACTTTTGTCAAGACTTTCCGTCCAGAAATCCACGACCTTGAAGAAGAGGTTAAAGGTCAAAAATACTAAATTGTCATTCTTGGACATATTATTTGGGTGGTCTATTTAAGTAGTTGATTTATTCATTACAATTTGCTTATTTATACGATTAGCAATTACCTAAATGACATATCGAAGCTCCTTCAATCCTTCCAAATGGGGATTTATGTAAACGTTTAAATGTTTACCTTTACTTAACAAGATTTTAATCCACTTTGAATAATAACATTTTTGGCAAACACACCATCAGGAAAAAAGACTCGTAAAGGTGCCCTAAATATTACAACACGTGGAAAAAATGTTCCAAAAAAGACTCTTCAGCACGACCCCACTTACCACCAAGGGTCAAAATTTGCTCAAAATATCTCACATTTTTCGTGCAAATTTTAACTTTTGTTACTACACGGGTTACTGTCCATTTAAAATTAATTCCAATTCATCCCTGTCTTCTTTCTTCTTTTCAAAACTGATCTGCGGAATAAGCTTTTTCCTCGCGTTTTTAAAATACGTTTTGAAATTTGTGCTACAAGTGAAGCATTCTCACGGACATAATCCTGTCGATTACATTCGCTCCTTGAAAAGCGCCATTTCCCTTTGTAAACTTCCATTCTTCTACCAAATTATTTTCAACAAGTGGAGGGAAATACAAAACATATTTGATCATTTAGAGCACATGCACGGCAAACATTATTGGAATCTAGAATCAAGCGGGAATTGGAAACTAAATATGGTAAGTTGGGAAAAAATTAACGAAAACAAAAATATTTAGTTACAAAGGGATCGCAAACCATGTTCAAGCTAGATTACGGTTTGACAACCGAAGTGTGAAAGACAAACTTTTTAGAAACAAGATTTATGTAATGGGGTACTTGGCACATATGCGAAAATTTCCGCAAATTCTGGGCAACACAATTTAATGAAGACCCTCAGTTTTAGGGGGCGTCCATATATTACGTAACGCCAAAATCGCGATTTCTAGACAAACTTTTAACGTGGCCCACGTTACGTGGGTGACATAGGCACGATGTCAATGGATCATTGAGGTAGGTATGTATCAGTAGCACATTGTCGCGAAATTGCGACGCAAAAAAGTTGCTGAAATTTTCGCAAGTGCCGAATTATGTAAATGTAGTCTCTAAAAAGGTTCTCATTCATATTGACATAGTAAAAAATAATCGGGGTTGAACATGGTTTAACTCCCCATTGTTTAATGTTTCAGGTGTGCAGCCTCCCATTCCTGTATTTGCTGCGGATAATTTGGCAAATGTGTGCAACCTATGATAGCATAATATTCGCACTCCCGCCCAGAGCTAATTTACTCTTCTTCACAAAGCTTTACCAAAATTTTGCAACATTTATGACAACCACCGCAAATTCTACGACTGCAGAATCAAATTACCAAGATTATGTAGACCCTTTCCTTGGATTGGTTGACATCCTAAGCTCCCTTTCCGTAATGCGCATGGTCTATGAAATGGATTACCTTTTGCTTACGGTTGCCATGGGGTTGTGGGTCCCTTGCAAATATTTTTCAGAAATTCTGAAAAAAGACAACGTTCCCGTGCCAGAAATACTGGAAATGTTTGAAGACTTGAAAATTTATTCGGATCTGTTAAACGAAGTCTTGAACGGGCTGGTGGTCCCCTTCGTGCTGGACGTGGTGTTTTATTATTCCATTCATTTGATGGACTTTGTCATTGTGGAGTCAATTCCTGATCTGATGGTGTTAACGATTTGCGTTTTCGTTACGATTGGGACTTTTTACTTTGCGGCGGAATCCTGTACAAACGTTAGTCCTAAGCAAATATAATCGTACATCTTCACATTCATTCATTTAATGATGATTGAATAAATTATGTATTCAATGTAAATGAATATTTTATTCTGATTTTTGAAGAAATGAATATGGAGTGAATATCTATTCAATTCGTGTGAAGGAATAATGAATGATTTTTTTATCATTCATTTTTAACTCAATGCTTAATATATAGGGAAAGTTGAGAAATTCATCTAGTACTGTGAATTTTGAATAACATGAATAATGAAGGAATGGTGAATTATGAATAAATGTTGAATAATTGATGAATACTTTTTTTTAAATTATGAATGAGGGGATAAGCAATGAATTTTTTTTCAAGGTTTTGAATGAATGAAATTTGAATAAATAAATATTTTTTTAAATATGTATGAATATGATAGCAAGGGAACGATATTTTTGAGGACAGTGTTTTTTGTTTGGTGAAAAATGATAGTTTGTCGTGAAACAATTTTAGCGCATTTGATGAACAATTGTTACCCCTGTTACTATATCTCTTATCGATTTGTATTTATAATTTATTTAAGAATGATGCACTAATATTAGAAATCTGGTGTAGTCAAGCAAGTACTGGTTTCTGGGTATTAAAGTTGCTACATATGTATGTACAAATTATTAATATCGTGTGAGTCCGTAAAAATTTGCTACCTACATGGTAAAACTTCGATACTGAGTTATTACTACATGGTATTACTTGTAAATACTAGTTTGGTAGAATCATATGTGAATATCGCGTGTTCTACTTCGAAATTTATATTTAATGTGATTAATAATCGACTTTTTGATTTGGCTAGGTCGACACTTTAAAGAAGTGGATATCGAAAATGAAAAACAGCATGGATCCAACACGTGAAACAGCTTTGTCGTCAATTCGGCAGGAGTTGGGAGATAACCCGGTAGGACTTTATGGAGGTGGAATGTTTGTTTTAAATTATTCCTTGGCTATCTCGGTAAGTTTTAAGTAATTGAGACTCAAGTAAAATAATGATTAGGTCATGCTTAATGATTTTTTTTCAGGTGCTAAACACAATTTTTACAATTTTCATTCTCTGCGTCCAGTTCCAAGAGATGAATTAAATTAAAGGTAGCAATGCCAATTTTATTCGAAACTAAATATTCGGTTAATATGATTTACCACGATTTAGATATTTGTATATTTATTTTGTTTCCATTCTTTCACAAATTTATGTATTGACTTTCGTGGAGTCATACAACTTTGATGTGGCTGCAATAGAGATCGCCGTGTAGTTTTGAAGATTAGTTGTAATTAAACTTGAGTCTCAAATCTTTTCCATAATGTTTGGGTCATATTTGTAAAGGTTTCCAAGCTTGCCAGGCCATTATTATTTATTATCTAAGTACTTACTTATTTTTTTCTTGACAGATTTTGAATAAATTCTATTTGCACCGTTATGATTTTGGGGGATTTAGTATTATTTTATATTTGTCGTGTTAACTTACAAGGAAAAGTATGTTTGTCGTACATTAGGGAACGTCCACAAAATATGTCTGGCAAAATTCCTGATCAGATCAAGCATTGCGCCCCGTTTTCACATTAATTCAGTATTAACATACTATGTATCAAGCGGTATTGTTAGATGACTCTACTCAAGTGGTACTTATCAATAATACTGTTTAGTAACAGCTTGGATTTAAAGCTTTTACCATATCGGTAGCAAAGTTTCATGCACCCCTTCGATTTTAATTCCTAAGCGGTAGCAACTTGAAGACTGAAAATTTAATACTAGGGTGACTATATAAAAATTATAACGGTGTAACTACACCTGCATAATCTACATGTAGATATTGCAGATTTTCCTATAATTTATACTTACTTTTCCTTCCCCCGTGATTTAATATCAAAGGGTGCCTTGAGGACCGCGTACATGTCGTCTGTCAACCAGATTAAGTTATATTTAAGTTGATTAAAGTACGCTGCGATGCATATATGAATATGTACATAGATAATTAGTGAAACTACCTATAATAAAAAGAGCTTTGTATTTTCACATCTTCGTCCAAGAAACGAATGTCACGCGGAGAGAGAGAGATCCTTCATTTCATTCAATTCGATGCCTTATTATGTCAGCAGTGTTCTTTTTTCTGGGTTTGAGATTTGAATGCGCCCATTGAAAAGTAGCCAAGCAAGACGGTGAAGACCACGGGGTTGCATTATTAAGGATAAGTAAATAAATAAAGCCATGCGTTAAATATGTAGTTATGGATGATTTGCATGCAAATTATAAATAATTAATAATTAGCATGCGACAACCCTACAAAAGGGGAGTCAAGATTTTACGAAACTCGATGCCGTTCTACATGCAAGGTCCCAATAGGAGAGGTAAATAAAGAAGATGAGAAGATCATTTCCAAGTGAAACAAAAGAAAGCATGTAACCATGCAAGAAACAATAGGTCCGTTTCACTCTAGTTGGCCTTCTTTTTCAAAAAGTTCCTAAATGTTTGGGGAGCGACAGTGCATAAAGAATGTCACGGATTTGAAGTCACAAGACGCTTAAAATTAGTTTAGTAGAATGTTTTTATTTATAAATTTTGTAGATTTTTATTTTCAAAGAAAATTCAATACATTTTTAGGAAACTTGGCACAGGTGAATTTGATTACTTATGTATGTATGTGGTAAAATTTTAGTTATAGCGAAAGTCAAATCTGATCTGAAAATGGGTGACGTGCTTGGTGCATGGGCCCTTTTTGAAGAGGCGAAAGTGAAACCGGAACCAAGTAGAAAATAGATTAGATAATGAATTTGAAACTCAATTTGATCGTCTCCCTTTCGTCGTGACGTAAAGTGACGAAATTCTCACATAACAGTATCACTTGGGTTGGGGTAGGTTCAAGGTGGGGAAAATTGCGTAACTTTGTAAAGTTTTTTTTAGCAACCATTGCAAAAGTTATGAAGGCGATATTCACATTTAAATTGGTAAGTTTCGGAATACAAAATTTCCCAGAAGTTTAATGAGTTTCTGGAAAATTGTGTAATGTAATAGAGAATATTTTACCTTGCAATTTTTTATGCAGATTGTACTTATTTTTACATATTTATTTTTCTGTAAATTTTTGAAAACTACATAATTTGCATATTTGAGTAGAAATAAGTATTAATTTGCAAATCCAAGATGAATCAAATCTGACCCATTGTTTTCAACATTTAACAAGTAAAGTATCAGAAATGTTTAGAATTAAAAAAATTAAATCTCTCTGCATAATTCATAATTTTTCGAAATTCCACATTTTTTTTACAAATATACATTTATACATTTCAGGTATTTTTATCCTACCTGAACCTCACCGTCCACGCTTGGCGTCCCCATGACGACGAAACCTTCCCCCGAGAACCTTCCTCATCCGAATGGCGACATAAATCCGGCTCTTCGGCGTCAAACAGTGTCACTCCGCTTTTCGGATTTGGCGTGGGCTACAAGAAAATTACGCATTACGTCCCCGTCTTAACGTTTCAGACGAGAAAAGGGGGAAACCGGAGACCCAACGGGAATGCGGATGTTGTTGTCCACACCCACGTGGCTGGTGACGGGAATCGTCCAAGCGTCACGATTTCCGGGGGCGACAACGACGATAACGACAAAGCGAATACAAACGGGAATAACGACGACCAAACAAACAGTGGCGAAATATCGGCACAAAATTCGCAAAATTTGCAAACTTCGACCAGCTCTGGGAGCGGGATTAGTGTGCAGTCCTTCAATTTAAGGAGTGACGATAATCGCGACCCGAGACGGATTTTGCACCGGGATAAGAAAACCTATGGAGATGATGACTCATCCTGCGAAGGGGGGAGGAGTTGTAAAAATTGGCGGGAATCGGGCATTAAATCAAGACGTGCCGGACAAAGAAGGAGAGCTGGGAGAATTACGGATAGGCGGGAGAGCGACATGTGGGGCGGGAAAGGGCAAAATGATGACGCTTGGGGCGGGAAAGGGCAAAGTGAGACGAGGCGAAGTGGTAACCATGGCAATGAAAGAATTTCGTATCAAGATAATGATTCCCCCGAAATCAGTAATGAGATGAACGAGTATACGATTGGTGGGTGGGACTGGACACAAAAAAGTGGGTATTTCGGGTTTAAAAAATTGTTCGGAAATGTGCCGAGATCTTCGTGGTGAAAATAAATATAGAGGATATTTCGATGGAGGATGAAATCGTTATCTTACAAATTTTTATTTTATTTGGCTTATCTACTATAATATGTATTTGTTATCTGTTTATATTTTGTTATAAATATTTTAATTATTATTAAAAGCTTAACAATAATAAATATTGTGTTTTTGAATTTTCGAACTTAAAAAAATTGTAAATTTAGTGCTTATACATTTCAGGAACTTCGGATTTATTTGCTCGCCAAATTTCTTCTTCATTACGCTGTGTGGGCAAGATATCCTGCTAAAAAGGAATGCACAATTTTCGACTGTTAAGTATAACTTTAAAATTTTGAGAAATATCTACGATTTCGTAAAATTTTTCCCGGAAAACCTTTGACCATTAATCCATTAATTTGTTCCATTAATTATTTACTTAGCAAATTGGCATGCTTTTATTTCAGAAGAAGCGATATGTGAAATAAGACGTTGACGTGAGTGCGCCCAATGATCGCATATTTATACATATGCGATATTTAAAATATTGAATAATTACCTCCATGATTAGTTGCGATTTGTGCCACTTGCCGTGAAGTGACCACATTTTTCTCAAGTCGCTCTAAGATTTTTTTAGTATTATTCAAGGTTCAAATATTTTTAACATTATGAATAATTATTTTCCAAAATACCTGCGACTTCACCGTAATTCGTGCACCTCAATAATCCACACAGCTCTGTCATCGTACAACTCCTCGGGGTCGCTCCTTTTCGGGCCATCCAGTCAAAAATGATGTTCGTAAAATACTCGGGAATCGTAAAAGCGCCAATGTCCACAAGTTTTGCGGAATGGAGCGCCGTATGCGCGGGAGTGTCGAGGATCGTCGCGACGTGTTTGTGATTACTTGTTAAATCCGGGTCTTGCACTAAGATGTCGACAATGAGAGGAACTTGGTCGGGATATATTCGCATCTCGGAAAATTTGAATAATTGTGTAATTGTTGTGAATATTTTGCAAGTGGGAGTTTGTACTTATGTAGAAATGCATACTGAGAAATATTTTACTAAATCTGAGCCAGGCAGAGATAATATGTGTACGTATTTATTAGCCAGCAGATAATGGATTGGTCTAGGGATTACATTTATCAGGGCATTTCGACAATTTAATTATTACAGGTGGGATTAACGACAAGCTTGTGTAACTGTGTTTGTATGTAAATAAGCGTGAAATATTCACGGGTAAATTTGTGGAATTAAACATAGCATAAAATCTTCAATGGAAAAAGTCATATTCACTTCTATAGTAAATAAACCGTTACAACGCATGTAACCAAGGGGTGAAAGGAGTGTCATACGTCAATGTGAATATCAAATTGTTCGAAAATTTGTTAAAATTGACACTTCTGACGTGTTTTCGACTTTTGTGTCTTATTTGTGTCAAATTTAACAGTTGATAACCCTTATGTGACCTTTATATGACCTCTGAGGTCAAAATGGAGGTCACCATTGAATTCGGGGTTAAATTTCAGTTGAAATTGAAATAGATATGTCCTATGACCTTTACATGACCTCTGAGGTCAAAATGGAGGTCACCATTGAATTTGACATTGAAAAATAGTTAAAAATGATGTGTCACATGTCAAAACTGACACGTGACACTTTTTCGTCACTTTTCGTCACCGTGACGACGTCATCGTCACAGGTGACGATGTCACAGTGTCCATCTTCGAACTCGTCCTGTCCATTGACGTTAGGAGTTTACGTTCAAAATTTCAAGTGTCTATGTCTTTTCGTTCAAAAGTTATCGGAGCTACGGACAGACAGACGGACGGACGGACGGACGGACAGACAGACGGACATAACGATCTTATAAAGGGCTTTCACCCCTTAATAAATACATACATAAATACATACATATGTACATACATACCTAAGCATGAATTATGCAATGCATAATGGGCCCCCTCAGACCCACGAAAAAACCGTCGCTTCGAATTTCGCTTAGTTTTTCGCTTACTTCCTGATAAGCGAGCTCTGGGGTAAGCGACCAGAAACTCAACTCAGAAGTGGGGTTAAGGTCGGTTAGCTCCAATCGGAACAAAATTTTGAAAATATCATAATTTTAGCCATGCTATCGATAAGCGAAAAACAAAGCGAAATTCGAAGCGACGATTTTTTCGTATTATATATGTATTTAATAATTAATAATATGTATTTAAGTAAAATTAAAGTTGAAAATTCATAATTCGCATCTATCAAATAGCATTCTATTTATTTTTATGATGTGCTAAATTTCTAGAGAAGTTAGTTTGTAAATCGATTAAATTATTTCCCCAATTTTTTAATATCTTAATATGTACTTATGTAAGAGTGGCTTACATGGATGTAAATATGTGCGTTCAATAAAATATCGTACAGACATACTATGTCTGTACGTAGGTATGTATGTGCACGCACATGTACCATAAGCTTGCTAAAATTGTATATCGTTTAATAATTATTGCATGTAAATAAATACAATTTTAGGTTGAACACTTAAAATGGGAAGAATGATATTTATGCAAACATATTTACATATCTGTATGTTATGTACTTAAGCACATATAAAGATTAACATTATAAACTGATGTATTACGTATACATATGCACCTAATTGTATTGTACTCACCTTTCAGAAATTAATCCAGCTAAAACTTGGTATAGTATGCACACCGAGAAGGTGATCGGTGGCTCATTCCATCTGAACCCACACGATCGTCGTCGCACCCATATTTGATATCTTGTCCACAATCATATCATAGTTGCATAATATAAAATAAAACATATCATAAAAATCAAAATTTGAAAATTATTTTTTTTCGCAAAGATATAGCATTTTAAAGAAAATTTGCAAATGCATTGAAAATGCTTTCGTCGCGAAAGTGTTGGTTCAAAGGGGTAGGTTACATTTACAGATTTCATTCATTGATCATTCTTTGCTATGAAAAATTTTAAAAAATTCAAAAATAAAAAAAATCTGAAATTTGAAATGTATTTAAAAACTCGATTATCGAGAAGACGGACAAGAATCGCTCATTGAGAGATAAGCCAATCGATGCCTTTGGGCCTGAGGAAACAAAAAAGTTTAAAACCCCACGCGATTTTTGTCCGTCTTGGAGTTTTCCCAATTTTTCCAAAAGGTAAAATTAACATGGGCTGCTTGTGTAGACAGTAGTAAATAATTCTGTGTTCCTACGTGGCCGGGAACATTGACAAAGTGTGAGTTGTGTAGTGTTCTCTTGCAAAAGAGAGAAAAATACCTGGCCAGGCAACCACCACCAGGGAGCAGGGTTTAGCACCTCTATTTCCTGGTACTCGATCAAACGTGTTGCTTACAAATGGAATGAGCCCGGTACTGAATAGGTACATACACTGTTAAAAATCTGGTAGATTCACATATATAATCCGTGCTGGTATTGGTTTGGTAATAATTTCCTATCGGATTGGTAGGAAGTTGTTCCTGACTTGTAAATTTTTCATTAGCACAAAATTACTGAACGGTAATTCCCACTAATACCAGTAGAGTCACATATGTATGTACATACTCCAGTCGGCAATGATTTAATACCAGTTTTCTAAGAGTGAAATATGCATTTTACTTGCAAGAGAATTGAAAAAAGTTAAATAAAATTCACATGACATGAAACTTAATCAACCGATTTATAAATAAGGTTTATTAAACAATGGTAAAAATTCATTACAAACCAATTTTAACAGATATTTTTAGCATGTACATAAATGAAAAGTTGTAAAATATATTTAATTAAATATGTCTATATTTAGATAATTACAAATCGCAATTATGTAACTACATAAAACATTATATTGTATAATTAATAAATTGTACTAAATACACCTACAAAGCCTTAATTATTATTCAAATAAAATTAATAGCATAGACACATTTCAAGAATATATAAGCCATTTAAAAAAGATATTTAACCCCCCTTAAAAAATTGCTAGGATTTTCCAATATTAATTTTTAACTAATTTCATGCACTACTTTATAAATATTGCAAATACATATTTTTGAAAACACGTTTCAAGCCTGTCTGAGGTTTGGTCGAAAAGTAAATATATTCAATTAAAATTAATTAGATCAGGCAGTTATTTAATTAATCATTTAATTAACAAACGTTACTCATACATATGTAACGCTTGCAATTTTCGTGAAGAGAAAAAAATTAGTCATTTCGGCTTGATAGAAATCATGTCTTAAGAAAATTACGGTATTTCGTACCCTGGTTTTTAACAAGATATTCCGTCCGTATCAATAATTCGTGTTATATTTCAATATTCTCCCTGGATATTAAACGCAAGGACCGGTTCATTGAACTTGCTTATGAATATTCTCGTAAAACCTAACATGATAATAGCTTTATGTGATTTTCAAAGATGGACAGATATATATATAAAATAATGTAGTAAATTTTAAGCTTTGTGTTGTTACCTTAACACAAGACATACTTAATAATTTGGTGTTACCTAGTTATTTTGGACCAAGTTCGTAAATCGCAGTTTCGATCTTAAGGACCGGTTCATTGAACTTGCTTATGAATATGGATATTCAACCTAACAAGATTATCGAGAATTTATTTTAAGCTGTCAAATTCTGCCTTTTGTTACTACATTTAACATAAGACTTTGCTAAACTGTGTAGTCCAATTGCTAAAATAATTGGCAATTTCTTACTAGGGATATTTTTTAGGTGTTCTAAGCATTCAACTCTATGTGAAGACAAATTGGCAAGCAAGTGCATGAGTTATGCACGTATAATTTCGTAGTGATCCTTTCCTCAATTAATCTACATATAAATTGTCTGTCCATTTGGTTATCGTACCATGATACGCGTATGGAATAAGTGACCCCATCACAATTTTTGTGATGTGGTCAACATCTATATTACACGACTCAATGAATCAGTTATGTACGCAAATTTGGCTCCTATTTTTTATTGATTCGATTTGCATCTGTGCTACGGTATCTATTGCATTTAATTATGTTTACATGAATTTATCAATACCAAGGTAAATCATGTTAGTGGTTGTTTTCAAAAATGTCTGTATTACTGTCCCAATTACATAATTTGGGGCGTTTGTTGTAAGGATATATAAGGTAGTTGGTGCAATTATAGGGTAAAATACTTTTACATACTTATTACTCCGTAATAAGGTAGTTCCGCGATAAATAACTGTCGTTATATTAATGAAGAAAATCCAACATTTAATAATGACCAAGACGTGATTTTCATAAACTACCTACCATTTTATGCTTCGACTTAATTCGTACTGATTTTTTAACCCATTTCTGTTGAAACTTAAGATTACCACATGTAAGTTTCAAATTCGCAAGTATTAATATCTATTAAAATTCAATAGTACAGATTCTGAGTTTAGAAATATATATACTAATACTAATTTTGGAAATATATTTCACCCGGAAAGAGTTCGGAAACAGAAGAAGTGTGACATACTTAATGCCGAAAGGGTACAAGACGCTCTCGGCAACAAAGCGAATTGTGTGAAGACATCGCAAAGGCCCCCAACACATAACAAGCGTTAAGTATTTCTAGTTAAGCTCGCCCCTTTCAGCGAGAGAAATTGTATTTCAAATCTTATCATGATCTGACACCTATTCATCATCGTTACAAGTGCTTTCAGTCTCCGTCAAAATCAAGTTTAAATTCTTCGCAAATTCACAATATTTGCCAAAAATTTTATCCAGACGCAAAGGGTACAAAACACCCTCGTTAACAAGAGAATTGTGTACCGACATCGCAAAGGTGGCAGGCGCCCTTTCAGCGAGAGAAATTGTATTTCAAATCTTATCACGATATTGAACCTGTCCATCAATTTAAGTCTAATTTTAAACATAATCACTTCGCAAATTTACCACATTTGCCGAAGGTTTTTTTACAGGAAGTAAAAATTCTAAATATGTACTGACATTTGTCACATTTTATATTTTAAGCGAAATATAAGAAATATGATGGCTGTCATCGCAATCACTGAATATGAATTGATATCATTCAACATTTAACCTAACAATGATAACAAAACATTTATCTGAAAAATTCTGTCTTTCAATGAATCAATTTTGAGTAAACTGAACATAAACTTTTTTAAATTTTTCCAGTACAGTCCTATTTTTACAACGAATAGAACTGTTAATTACGTAAAGTAAACTTAAAATCGTAAATTGAATTAAGGATAATTATTTTAATAGTTATGCTGCGTTTGATGACCTATAAATTAGTTTTCGATCGTATCACTTATTTACACGAAATAAATATTCAAATTTAATGAAAAATATATCACTAAACTGGGAATATATTTAAATTATAGTCTTCTGGTCGAATCAGGCCGATCGGGACACACACAATCTAATTCATCGTGATGATAGTGTATTAAACCTATCTAAATTAAGGTGAATTTTATATTGTTCACGAGGAAAATTTGGAATTTATTTTCTCTATGAGATTGGGGAATTTAAAATTTACCACATTTTTATTCTTCCACATTCAATTTTTTTGTCGATTACAAGACTGGTCTAATTCAGACTGACAAAACTCGATATGTAAGTTGAGTAAATGTTGAACGTAAACCTATCAAATGATTAAACGAGGCGAAAACGAAATTAAGGTAATGTTCATGTCAAGAAATTCGTAAATATTTCCATTTAGTGGAATTTAAAATTTACCCTTTTAAAAATTCCCCATAATTCAGGTTTCTCCAGTACCGGAGAATTTTATATAAATTATCATTTTTGGTAGGAAAAAAGTAAAGATGGCATATAATTTCTGACAAAACTCGATATGTAAGTTGAGTAAATATTGATCGCAAACCTATCATTTTTTTAAACATAGTGTCAGCGAAATTACGGTAATTTTTTCGTATTGTACAAGGATTATTTCAATTTGTTTTAGTGGAATTTAAAATTTACCCTATTTGTATTCCCCTTATGATAACTATCGATACGATTGGAAAATTTTACGACCCATCATTTCAGAAAAGACAGAAAACTGAAGAAGGTATCTAACATTCAAAGGCATTCATGGATTTTGACAAAACTCGATATGTAAGTTGAGTAAATGCTCAACGTAAACCTATCAAATGGTTAAACGAGATTCAAGTGAAATTTAGGTATATATTTTCACCAGGAATATCTCAAATTAGGGAATTTTGAAGTTACCATTTTCATATTCCCCGTAATTCAACTTTCCCCACTAGTAGATAATTTTATATAAATTATCATTTTTGGTAGGAAAAAAGTAAAGATGGCATATAAGCCTTGACAAAACTCGATATGTAAGTTGAGTAAATATTGATGGCAAACCTATCAAATACTTAAACGAGGCGAAATTCATGTGATATTTTAATTTGCTGGGATTTAAAATTTACCATATTTATATTCCCCGTAATTCAAGTTATTCCATTGCTAAAGAATTTTATGTAACTCATCATTCTAGATAAGACTGAAAACCGTTGACGGAATTGCAACTTTAGGTTCTGACAATACTCGATATGTAAGTTGAGTAAATATTGATAAAAAACCTATCAAATGATTAAACGAGGCGCAAACGAAATTAAGGTAATGTTCATGTCAAGAAATTCGTAAATATTTCCAGTTAGTGGAATTTAAAATTTACCATTTTTAAAATTCCCCATAATTCAGGTTTCTCCAGTACCAGAGAATTTTATATAAATTATCATTTTTGGTACGAAAAAAGAAAAGATGGCATATAATTTCTGACAAAACTCGATATGTAAGTTGAGTAAAGATTGATAAGAAACCTACCAAATACTTAAATGAGGCGAAATTGATGTAATGTTTTCGATGTTATACAAGGAATATTTTAATTTAGGGGAATTTAAAAATTTACCATTTTTATATTCCCCGTAGTTCAAGTCACTACATTTCTAACGACAGAAAACTGTAGAGGGCATGCTAACGCTGGGGTGCATTCATGGAATCTGACAAAACTCGATATGTAAGTTGAGTAAATGTTGAGCGCAAACCTATCAAACATAAGCGGTTAATCGTATGAAATCAAATTTCACCATTTGTTCTAGTTTGAAAATACGATAATCTTGTTCGGATTATATTTTTGACTTCCATATCGATACAATTGATACGGTGTAATTAATAAAAATAGGAAGGTTGTTCTGAATAAATATATTTTCAGCCCAAACCTTAATACGTTGCTGAGCTCAGTACATGTGCGATATTTGAATTTCGAATGTATGACCTGTCAATTTCTACAAGCACATGTAATCTTTTTTCCGAAAATTTATAAGTATTTTTTACGAGAGACATCACCATTGTCTACAGAATAGTTATTTCGATAATTTGATAAATTTTATATCATTTCCGGAAATCAGCATACAAGAAAATAAGAGAAGTGTAATTTGTACCTTGCTGAAAATATACTTGTGTGGAAAGCACCGAGAAATTTTTGCATAAAAATTGAAATTTTGTGACAGTTGAATTAATTTTGGAAATACAAAATCCGTAGGAATCTTCACAGTAAGAAATGTTTAAGTGTTTGAGCATAAATTTACCTAACACCTTCAAAATTATGATTTCAAACATTATTATCAACACAATATTAGTTTTAATTATTTGCACGCGTTCCACACGCGTACTTTTTCTATGTTTCAAGATTATAATTTACGACACCTATCTTGAATAATAAACATTGATCGTTCAATTCGTGTGAAAACGTTACAAAGTTCCACGTGAATATGTAAATTGTAAGACCAAACTTAATTTGATTACTCATCATTAGCTAGCTAATTGTTACCACGTGTAATAAACGTGTTAAATACATTACACTATTGTCAAACCCTTTGACAATTTGTAGTGGGTGGGGAAGATCAAGTTATAATCAAGAAAGCGTAAAAAATTGTGCCTAACACATAATCCAGACAAAAATATTAATGAGGATACAGCAGAAAAATTCCACTTATTACATAGCAATGCTTACACATTGTTATCATCTGGGAGAAATTGGGATAAAAATCAATTCGCCAAAAAACATTCCAAATTGTTTAAGATGTCAATTTTCCAGTAAATTTTAAAGTCGAAACACGGCTTTCCTCGTTCGACAAGAAGTTAATTTTTAGTACTTTCTGTGGTACGGATCCACCTTGTACAAATTTGTGTAAATATGTACACACAATTGAGTTATATATCGAATTAGTGAGCGATTTGGTACGGATAAATTTAGAAATGTGTGTGAAATTTAAAATCATAATATTTTTTAAGAAATTAATTCATGCAATTAAGACTCATATTGATTCCTACTAATTTTAAAGATAAGTTGTCATGAGAGATTTTAGAATTCGAAAGTCTCTACTGAGAAATGTGCTTAATTTTTACCCTATAATTTATAAAAATAACATATGACCAATTAATTTGGCCATTAAGAATTGATCTTGGTACTATTCATGCATTGTTGACGACTGAGAGGGAGAAAGTTAATTTAAAGTAATCTTATACAAATCCAAATATTGAAGGTTTTCACGAACTGATTAATTTGCAGATGTGCAAAAATTTTAAGAAGATATCAAACCTGGGGTTTGATATCTTCTGACTTTGAAGCTATTTAACTGGGCAGTTAAATAGCTTCAAAGTCATAAATATTCTACCCGATTCAGAGAAAATACGAGAAAGATTTACAAAAATTGCAAAATGTACTACGAAAATATAGACCGGTAAGTTTGACAGAGTTAAAAGTCTGAATTTTTAGATACACCTATGGAAATTATGAAGCTTAGAATTTTTATGATTTAGCATAATTTTAAAATTACTTAATGATAAATAGTAACTAATTTGGCCAAATTTGCGTATAAACGTGTGCATATTGCAAATTAAAAAATAAAACTAAATTAAAACAAACGATGAGAGATTACTTAACGTTGCAGGAACATGATAACGTTGTAAATACGATGCGATGGAGAGGAGTCGTCCAGAAATGAGGCGACTTGTCGAATGTTGTTGCGTGGGTGTGGTTTGAAGATTTTCCTTCGTCGTGATCCCAGTAAGAGTAAAAATATCCATTAAAACGAATTGATGGTGGCGGAGATGAGGGGTCCAGTAAATCTGTAATTAAAAAAAATGTTAAACTTTGAGAACAAGGAACACGCAAAATTGTATTAATTGAAATATGAATTAATAAATTGAAGCCAAATTACATGACTTGAGTATTCGTATTAATACAAAGAAGGAATCTATTTACCCAAATTGAAAGGGGAAAAAATCAACTAAATAAACTTTTGGGCTAGTGTTTTTGTGTAGTTTGTAATAATTCGTGATTTTTGAAATATTGTGGAATTTTGTATTGGAAATAGAAACAATTCACGAAAACTTGGTAATATGTACAGCATTACAGAAATATTCTTTACAGGATTTTATACAAAACTCGAAGGAAAATCAACTCAAATATTAAGAACGTATTTAAATATTTCTGATTTGTAAAAGTACACGAATTTTAGAAAAACTATGGAAATGTTATTAAGACTTGAGTGATAATCAAATTTAAAAGAATAATTCTGAAAGTGTGAGAGTGACCACTAAAATCGGGCCAAAAATTGGATAATAAATTATATATAGATCAACTGTCCTCAATTTAATGGTAGTTCGCTTACCTGAGATAAATATAAACGTAGAGAATTTGGACGCCATTTTTGCCTCGTGGTGGAGTGGAAACAATGAAGTTGGGACGTGGTGGATTTTCTGAAATACAGAAACATCGATTATTTAGGTCTCGGAATTGTGTGCAAATTTTCCTCTGTTTAAAGTGAAATGGTTAATTCACTTACCTCAGATTAAAATAAACGAACACAATTTAAGTCGCCATTTTTGCCTCGTGGTGAACTGGAAACAATGAAATTGGGACGTCGTGGATTTTCTGAAATGCAAGAAAACAATTAATTCGAATTCGGAATTGTGACGACTAACTCTCATTCAAAACAAAGTTTAAAAACTTATTTTAATATGTCTAATTTGGAAATATTAAATATTTAACAAGTAAAATTATACTTAAATATTTAGTCACAAGTATGATAAGTGAAACACAATTTGTTAAATATTGTTCGACTTTAAATTATGTAGTCGTTATCCACTTAAATTTCATAATATTTAACCCCGATATTTCTTAATTATTGTAAAATTTCAGAATAAAACAAGTTGCTTCTTAAATAATAACACAAGACAAATTATTTAATTGAATACTTACTTTTCCGTCGAATTATTTAATAACTTTCGGCGTAATGTTACTCCAATTTAAAAATTTCACCGTGCACTTTAACTTTCTTCCGTTTAAACTTGTACCAATAATTTTTTAACTTATTAAACAAATTCATTTTAAAGAAATTTACTGGAACAATTTAACTTTATGTGGTTCTTGGAGCAAGGTTGGAATCGTAATGGGAAAGAAATCGGGATGGTCGGTACTTTTAAATGAAGGACAAAACCCTTCAAAAAGCGTCCTGCTATAAATAGGTCGCCTCAGTGAAGGGACCCTAATGGGTCCCTTCACTACAAACTTGCCTTTCCAAGAAAAACTGGATAAATCTCTAAACGTTTCTTACGAGGAAAATCTTTAACCGACGTCGTGGCTACAAAAATGTTGGAATGATGGAGCCGCCAAGAAGGGGCTGATAAAGTATTATGTCGTCAATTAGGACAGTCTCACTTTTTCTCTGTCCTGCACAGGGTTTCATGTTATTATATTTATCATGGGAATTAATCCATCAGTACTTTCAACTTGTCTTTTTTGACGACATCATTCTTGAATGGCTACTTTTTGTATTGTCTGTGTACATAGACTGTGCTGGAATATTCTGCACGATCCATCCCATGTAAAAGTGATACACGAGTGAAGCATGCAAGCACAGAAATGGAGGAGCATTGCATTATCAATGCTTGTAGTGGTATTCTATGCAATGTATATGTATGTATGTATATATGTATGTATACCCATAGGAAACTACACGTGGTAACAAAGCAAAATTTGTATCACGGCATTACAAATATACGTCAAATTACCAATTTTTATGTAACGATTTAGCATTTCCTTTGTATGCATGTAGCTTCAACGACGATTGATCTTGTACGCAGTACGCACAATATAACACGAATATGTACATGTCATACAAAAATTTCTTGCTTATGTGGTGTGGATGTGTCATATGTAAATCATCTATGCATGTAAATTGAAAGCAAAATGCATTTAATTTTCCAAGTTGCCCGAGTCAATTTACTTAGAACTCATTTCAAGTTATTTATTCATTTCAAAATGTTAACACGTATGTAAATATGTATATATGTACGTACATACTGTGTAATTATAGGAGAAAAAGGGGGAGGACTTATTTATAAAATATGCATGCATGTATGTGTATGGAATTTTTACACAGCAGGTAGTGCATATATTTTTATACAGCCAAAAGAATTTAATTTTAAACACTTTAGAAAACAATATTTTTTAGAAGGGCAAGTTACCTGCATACATGTATGTACCTATGTAAGCCTAAGGATGTCCATACATACATACGTATTTACATATATATTTGTGAGTACCTGCATAAATACACTTGTTAAATAACTTTATCCGTATGAATTTACCTTTTTCTAAGAATTTCTACCTACGAATGTTGGTGAAAGGAGACATGGTCAGGATTTTAATTCTGAACTAAATTTATATTAGATCCACTGCGAAGCTGAATTAAATTTATTATATTATAGTATATATGTACCTATATATATATTATATATATGTAAATATTCGTTCGCACAAACACATGTGTCTGCATGAAGTAACCCTTTTAATGCAAAACGAACCTTAAAAATATCCCTTTTAACCCCAAGTCGTGAGAAAAATTATAAAGGTTATAAATACATATGATCAAAAATTCCATAAAACTGAAAACCCCAAAAATTTTATTACCATGCACGTGGAGTATATATATATTTATGTATGTATGTACATATGTAATTAGTTTGATCTCTTACACTTAAATAAATTGATCACATGTCGGTTTACGCAATCCACACATATTTGCATATTTACTTGATGTGAATGGTTAATAAATATGTAGGTGGTGGAAATCACTCAACATTAATGGGAATAAATTTTTAATCCCTTTCGAGCTGATACCGTAAATAATTCGATGATTAAATATTTTGCACAAATAAAAAATGAACATAATTTTTTATCCAATTTGCAAAATTCTAAAAAACCTCATGCACATAAATTCCGGATACCGGATGGCACCGTAACCTACATACGTAATAAATCGCAAAAGGAAAAATGCGCCTTCACAAAAATATTGCTTACAGATTTCAAAATATACGAACGACCACTAAATGACTCACATACTCAAATCGTACGTATCCATGATTAAAAATCAACCCAACTTTAACACCCTGCCAGAAATTTTCATATGATGTGCGTACACATCCCACTTACGTTCAACCATGAAGATGAAATAACCTGCAGAAGATTGTATGACCCCCAATAAATAAATTCACCTAGCTACCCGACGTTGTTTTTTATCAAAGAAATAATTATCAATACATGTAAATCACACAGGATTACGTCACTTATCAAATTGACATATTTATATACTCATCAGTTCCGGAACCACGTCATGACGCGTCACATGGCAATAATGAAAGTAATGAAGGATTGATATTGAACTTGGACTAATAAAACTTGAGATTTATGTATATTACAAGCTATAACGGAACTATGTATGACATACTTATTTAGTGAGGGTTTTCACGTTTATCTGTAGTAAATGTCCAATAGAAATATCTAGCTTAAATTTGTGACTAGATCGACTAGACTTTTTCCTTGGTAAAATCTATGCACGCTTGGTAAGTCAGGATATCTTTTTAGAACATCCTAGATTTATAGAAAATTCTTCATGAAAGTAACATCTATGTATGTGCGAAGAAGCTCTTCATCAACCCTTTATAAATTGAAGAAATATATTTTGTGAAAGGAATCAGTTACAAATGGTTAGAAAATACCTCCAAGACGCATAAATATTTTCGTGTTATATGATATTTTATGCAACGAAATTATGCAATAAATAAAAGTCACTTCCAAAAGCATCCAGGTTGTTACATATTTACGCGATGAATGTTTAGGCGGATCCATGGCAAAAAATTACGTAATCAATAAATTAATAAATGATCTGAATTACGTAAACTCTATTTCAAATTTTACCCTAAACCATATTTATGTTCAATATGTACATTGATTGATTGATTGATTGATGCTTTATTCGAATGTCTAACAAGTTCACAGTTACAAACCATGCTCTTCCACAAGTGACATTATAATAAAATAAACAATTTATAATTAATAATATGATCATTAGTACACTGATGTGAAAATAAAAAACCAAAATAGAAATCCAAATTGTAGCCAATACACAAACAGAAATAATAGTGCAATGTTTTTATCCTATTCCATATTCATTAAAATTATTCATACACACTTCATATTTCAAATTAAAACATTTAACTGTATAGTACATTTCATTAAATTGATTTCGTAAAGGATTCAAAATTTTCGCTAATTTGCGCAATAATTTTTCACAAGTATCATGTTTGTTAATTCCAAGAGAATCAAATCTGCTTGTGAAAACGGGAACACATGTAGGACACGCCCAGTTTTTATGAAGAAAAAAATTACAAAAAGATCTATTTGAAAGTGTAATGTTGCACTCATGTCTATGAAAAAAATTTAAACAATATACACATTGAAGTAGTCCACTATATCCACAACATTCGGCGACGTCATCTTGGAAGAGGACATTGTATTCGGTCCCTTTGTGCGTGAACGGGGTAGAAAGGTCGACAATTTCTTTGCCGCAAAGATGACAGTCCGGTCCAAGAGCTTGGTCGTCGTCCCAGTAAATAAAATCCAGGTGGCCATATATTTCACTATTTACTTTGTCAGCCATCCCACCAGTCAACAAAATTGAATTGGTTGTTGGATGGGCGAGCAATACGGCATCCTCGATGGACATCATTTTTCCCACGTTGCAGGTCAAGTTAATAGTAGATAGTGCTCCAAAATCCGTTTCGCCGTCACGATTTCTTGTTCCAGTTACTGGGCAAATTTCAAAAATTAAAAAGTGACAAATGAAAATTAAAACTGGAACAATTGACCTGGGAAGGATCGAAATTTATATAGCGCCATCGGTCAGAGCGCTTTTGTACAAGGGCAGATTAAACCGCTCTGCCCACAGCGCAGTTGTTTAAAATCCGGTCCAAAAAGGGAAGTGGGAGGTGCCCGGAAACACAGAGAAAACGACTCAAAACTTGTGGTGTGTGAGTGCCCCAAACATACGGATGAGTTGGAGTGGGCAGTATTGGGCACCAGGCAAGATGTAGAGTTCACTTTGATGAATCAGGGGAGGTAGGTTGACATCAAAATAAGAAGTCGCACAGAAAGGTCAGTTAGGTCTAGGTGTTAAAAATCATCTACCACTTTCTTGTGGGTCCAAAATTACGCCTATATCACAAACTCGAAGACTTGGAGTGGTAAGTAATTTGCAAAAAATTTAAAAAACAAAAAATAATCGTGAAAGAGAAAAAAGATGACGTCTACTCGACTCGAGTGTACCTACATACACACATACATATACATATGTAAATGTATATCCACTTTGTGCAACTTATTTGCAATTTTTTTATGTGCCTACAATAGTAATTTGCCAGGTGGATGAGAAACAAGTCCATCAGAAAGATAAGGGTGGATTAAGGACTAATTTATTGAAAAAAAACATGATAACGACACATATGAGTTATTACTTTACGCCAATCCATTAAATCGACGGCCCAGGTAAGAAGGATCCGTGTCAAACACTGGCTCAAATCTAAATACAAATACCTAAATATTTTCCCCAAATCTGTGCACCTGTTTTTTGGATTGGCTGAATGTTAATTCGAATAATTGGATTATTTAGTTACATAATTTGAATTCACATTTCGTCCCCGATAGTTTTTAATAATAAAAATGAAGTTTAGCATTTTTATAATAAATCTCGCTCTAACTGGAGCACTGGATGTGCTGGATGCTGTCAACAAGGGTAAGATCCAGGGTGGTATATGTATCTATGAATTGGGGGTATACATTACGAGTTCACCTGGAAATGTTTCCATGTTAGCATGGAAATATAATTTTGAAAAAAAATTGAACTACATAAAGATTAGCCTTGAAACTGTGTAAAGTTGCAAATTAGTTTTCAAACCAAAATTTTTCGCGAATTTTTTTTAACTAAGGATGCGAACTCGTAATGATTTTGGTCCGATTTCCTGGTGAAAAAATGTACCTGTTTCTTACTTGTTTTTCTTAGAAAATGGTACTATGTCGGTGCAACATAGAACCCTTATCTACGTCATTACGGAAAGTAGAGTATGTTACTTTATTTAATGAGGTCTCAGACTATGGCGTAAACTTATATAAAGTTCATGATATTTAATTCTATAGGCCAACTGGATTACCGCTTTTAACAGTTGTATCACCCAAGGTGGATATTTAGCAACTCCATCCACTCCCGAGTTGGACCAGAACCTACAGGTTTTTCTGACCAATGTCAATTTTGCTGGTGAGTAATAAATAAGTACACTCAAAATAAGGTAGTAATGAATCATTACCATGCGGAATCACTATGTGTCTCTACCACTTCGGTTACGATTTGTCGTAGAAATGGTAATAATAAGTTCAGGGAAATTCAAATTTAATACATAATGGTATTCACTTCCTTAATATTTGGTAATGAAATGAATTTGAATTTCCCTGAACTTATTATTACCATTTCTACAAAAAATCGTAACTGAAGTGGTAGAGACACATAGTGATTCCGCATGGTAATGATTCATTACTACCTTATTTTGAGAGTACGTCTGAAATTCAGGACAATTTCGGTGCGAATTATATCCCAAGTAAATATTCCTTGCTAATGGAGGTCCCCCATCGTATGCTCTCAGAGCATGGCTAAATTAGTTGCAAAATTTAATCAGTATAAAATTCACAAACGACACGATCCTCAAATGAACCAGATTGGCAAAATAGGCCGTCTAAAATTTCCTATTTTAAATACATTTTCCAAATTTACTGCGGGTTTTCGTATGCAATTATCTCAGCAGAACCTGAGAATGGGCAGTGTACCGATATTTTTGAAATTTCATGCTAACAATGAGTAATTAGGTGGTTTGTGGAAGTATTTTTGTCAAAATCGGATAGCATAAGCTGTGACACTTGACGAAATTGTGCGAACACTATTTCCGTTTGGCCTTTGTCGATATTTATATCAGGTAGTATAAGTTTTAAAAATCCTGGTAAATTATGTGTTCTAGTCAACGACGTCGTTTGGCTGGGGGGTAGGATGGCACTCTCCGGTGGGGGTTGGGACTGGGTCTTGGAATCGCCTAATGAGGATATTCGCTACACCAATTTCCTCGTTCGCTGTGAAGACCATTTGCCAGGATGGGGTCTCTACATGACTCGGACGGAAGACGGTCTGTGGGGGTGGTGAACCCACCCGGAGGATAGCCTGTTTAGGTACGTCTGCGAATTCGGGGAACGTCAGACACCTTCGACGACGACGATAACAACAATTGAAACCACGCTGACGACGGTAGCAGTAACGGCGACGTCGACCACGGTGGGGCAGTCTGAGACGACTAGCATCACCACACCCACAACAGGCAGGACTTCTGTTTCTACTCCTACGGCCATAACTACGCTCGTTACGGAAACTACGTCACCCTCAGGAGCTGAAATTTCTTCGAAATCAGGATCCGTTTATGGGTTCGCTATTTTAATTTGGGTTATTATGACGTACAACAATTTTTTTTGAACTGTGTGAAAACTTGCATTTCATTTTGTACGACATTATTCTCTTCCAGTTCATCATTACAATATTTGTTATGTCTGATTTAAATATGTAGAAAAAATTAAGTTGGACAATTCTGTCCAAAGCTTCAATTTTTTAACAATTTACTTTGAGTTTATGGTTAGATGAAAATAAAATATTTATCATGCTACCAACGGGAATCAAGTCATTTGTTTAAGAAACGATTTCGGATCCCACACTCTGAATAAATTTAAAGTCAAAATTTCCCTATATTTTCTCATTTAATCTCAATTTTGTCAATTTAATTTCAATTTGCTTCCATTTTCTCATTTAATCCCAATTTGATCTCAATTTTCTCGAAATATGTACCTTGTAAAAGTTGGCATTTTTGCACAACCTTGCTTTATTTAATTTTACCTTCATTGCATAAATTTTGTACAGCCTGTTTCAGCCGCATCTCAAATTTTGCTTAAGTATACATAGGTATATACCTTATATTCCAATATTTGCATTTTCATGCAAAAATGAAGTCTCCCACTTTGGCATATGATCAACATTATAATGGAAAAATTTAAAACTTATTAGAATCAGATATTTTACTGGTAAAAAAAATAAAATTACAATAATCAGCATAGGTAATTTACTTATTGAAGTGAATACACGAATTGCACACAGTCTCGATTACGTCGGTCGTTGGGGACCGTGCACAAAGAAGGTCGCCAATTTTGACGTTAATGTGTGAAATGTTATAACTTACTATTAGTTAACCTGACCAATGACAGACAGCCTTGACTTGCGTTCACACATTTTAATTAGATCAATACCATTCTTTACGCACGGTCACTCGTTGAAGAGACGTACGTGTAAATAAAAGCAATCATGGTTACACATATGTATTTGTAACACGGACATCTTTGGTACAATTTGGAGAAATTTTAAATAAAATTTCGATACAATTTTGATACTGAACATTGGAGTTACCAAAGTTTTGTGTGCTCACAAAAATATGAGGCGACGAGTTTAACAAATTTAAATTTAGCAAGTGATACCAAAACTGAATCTGTCAAAAATCCAGCTTGGATTAAAATGAAACTTGCACTGGAACAATGCAGATATTTATATTTAGCTTAGCAATTTACATATATGCAATTGTACTCCACGTGACATGACCTGGCCAACTAAATCATACAATACAATAATACCAAAATTATACGATGAAATGAATAACAAGTGCATTTCTATCTTCCCAAAAACAAAACGAGCACAATCTTAATTCATCAAAAAGACAATGGAATTCTTACTAAATTCATAAATTACCTAGTTTCTCACTCGTATAAAAACGTAAACTTTTCCATGAAAAAATATCATTCACTTCTTCTGTAGCCTTTCGGAGTACAGCAAAATAGTGATCATTTCTTAAATAAATCCTTCCAATTTCTAAGAAAAATAATTCAAGATGGGTCGAGTCCTCGCAATTGCGGTCGCATTGAGCGGAATACTTTTCGTAGCGTTGGCTTATCCACAACAGGTGAGAATTTTTGCAGAAATATTTTGCAATTCGCAAATCTGATATATATTTGGATATCAGGTGCCCGAAATTCCTGGAGGCGTCGGTAATGGCACGGTTCCCGCAGTTCCAGGTGTTCCCACGAATGGCACGGTTCCCGCGGTTCCAGGGGTGCCTACAAACGGTACGGTTCCAGCAGTTCCCGGGGTTCCGACCAACGGCACAGTTCCCGCGGTTCCCGAAGTTCCAGGCGGCGTTCCGGTTAACGGCACGATTCCGGGTGGAGTTCCTCCACTTCCAGGTAAATTCGGATTGTTTTAAACTACCGGGTAACATAATAAACTTCTTTGTTTACTTTTCTGTAGTCAACAACACCATGCCCGATGTGGGTAACTTGCCGATCGGGGGGAATAATACCCTTCCAGGTAAACTGTTTGTGTGAAATAACTGATTTGAATTTTGAGAAAAAAATTGATCTTCAATTTGCGAAAATACACGAATTCATACAATTTTGTAAAAATTTTTAGGTGGTATCCAAATGCCAGGAGGTATTCCTGGAGGACGATAATATCAAATACGAATAAGAGTTGCGGGTAATTCGGCTCAATTTATATAAATCTGAAAAAATATTGTATTTCTTTCTTTGTAAAATGAATTTTCTGTTGAATAAATTAATTAAAATTTTAATACTGTTTCGAATCGTGTTTCACTATTAAGCAATTAGTATGCATACAATCCAGAAGAATTAGATATTCGGTAAATCTGCATAACCTACATGAACCACTTCACGACCACTATTGTTCTCCCTCTTTCTTAGCTAATTAGCGCATCATTTACTTAAACTTGTTTCCATATGGGTAAAAAATTTGCATTATACGTATGTATCTACTTTGCTTATTAGGTTTTCGGTTTAAACTTTAGACATAAATTATTATTCAGGCCCCTCAAGTACTTAATTCTCAAATATTTACATATGCACGTATTTAAATATGTGGCATATTTCAAATTGTGCTTAAATTTGTTGGCATTTTCTAGAAAAATGTCCGTATGTTTCCCCCACTTTTTCTACATAAAAGGAGTTACTATTTTTGTCTTTCGAAAAATTCTTATAATTACAAAAACTAGTTAAAAACCTTAATATAATGCAGGTTAATAATTAGAGGAAAAATTATCCAAAATTTATAAATATTTACAGGTCCGTATCTTCATACATATGTAAATATTGCTAAAATATTAAACCAATATCTCCTCAATTTTCCTTCATATACAGATCTAGGTATGTATGTATGAATACTTCAAAAATGTGAACTTTCATACATACATATGTTCATATTCACCATATTATCATCTTAACTATCATGCTCCCCTATTTTTCAAATAAGTAACTACATATTTTTTATGTAAACGAAACTATCTCTGTATTATTTGTGATGTAAGAGACAAAAATACATCGACACAACTTAAAAGATAGGGTTATCCACAATCTTACTTACACTTAGGACAACACAATACGAATTGTTTTGATTCCTCAAATCTGAAATATTTGTAATTTGAGGTCATTAAATGAAACTGTTTCAGAATGAATTAGAATTACTTATGTATGTATTTATATTAAAATTTCTGATTTAATTCATTGACACGAAGTCCAAAGTATAAAATAACTGCTGTACGCGTTCCCATTCCAACAGTTGCTCTGAAAAATCTCATTTTGCCTTCATCTCACAAAAATGGTTTCATACTGTATCATTCTCTCGATTGCCATATTGGGCATTGCGGCACACCCCCAGCAGACACAACCTGGTCCTGGAGCCTGCGAGGAGTACAGGAAACAATGCGTCGGTGAGTTCTACATACACTCTTAGAAATGAAGTGCTACCTAATACATAAATTAATAATTGATAAGATTAATTAGAGTTACATATTTGTTAATAATTATGTACATCTATGGTTACGCACTCTTAGAAATCCAGTATTAAAATAAATGCCGAGCGGTATTCATACATTTCATTCTACCACGTGGTACTGATAAGTAATACGGTGCACTCAAAACAAAACGGTGTCAATATATGACTTAACCATCTTGGTTACAATTGTGATTCCGAGTAGTAATGAATATTTTCCGTCCGGTCAAAACATTATAACTTCCGGTATCAAAATCATCATAACTCGGATTCAACATTGTAACCAAGGCGGTTAAGTCATATATTGACACCGGCGGTGTTGATTTGACAAATTTTTGTTTTGAGTGTGTGGATTTTAAGAAATGTTCAAAAAATAAAACTTTTGAGACTTTTGAGTTGCATACTTTTTAATAAATTAATAATTTAAATTTCTACTAAATTTGTATCACCTTGTATTCATTAATATTTAACTACATACTTCTGTACTAAATTAACCAAGTTAAAAATTAAATTAGGGTTTAATACAAATTTGGGTTTGATTCATTTCTTGTAGATGGATCCTCCCTTGCAGGTCAGGGGGCATCTTCCGGCGTCGCCATTTTCCCAAACAACCCCCTCCCCGTGGAGCAAGTAAATATGACGGCAATTCAGCAAATGCCTTATTGTGAGGGATTGTTGCAAGCATGTGAGTCACAGAACGCCACGATTCCTGCAGTTCCTGCGACACCCGACGTTCCAGAACCACCTGCCCCTGGGGGACAAAGTAATGGGGGTGGATTCCTATCTAGTTTAAGAACATTTTTTCACTTGTAACACTTTATTATATTAAATGAAACATTTAGTGTAAAAACTTGGCAATTCATTTAATTCGCTGTTTTTTATGCTAAGTAATCCTACATGCAAAGTTGCCGGTCCTGCAAACAAGATATTTCATTGCACGTGTACAAATTATTTTTCATGGAGAATAAACTGGCGAGTATGTAAACCTGTAGCCAAGTTTAAGAAAATAAACCAAATGCGTACCATGTAAATTCCGAAGGAAATGTTGTCATCAAAATAACTTGCAAAGAAGTGTCACGCTGTTCAAATTATTGGGTAACCTTGCACTTAAACGTGTTACATAAGTAAGTTGGTACATACAGTATGTAACTTATTTAATGCTACGATTTTTAATTTCAAATTCAACTTCAATTTTCCCAAGAACAGGTTGATATTTCAAAATTGTTTTCATACCAATTCTTCACCATATATTGGACTACATTGAGGCCAATTTTCAGAGGGATGGAGATAAAACTGTAGAATACACAAATATTTTAATGTCAAAATATTGCGAATGGCACGTTACATAATTAATGCTACGATACACATCCGGTACAAATTTGCAGTCTTTCCTAAATACAGAGCAGAATTTCGAACGGATAAACAATTCTGTAGTATTTCTGCTACAAATGAAAATAATCTGCCGAATTAAAATAAATAAATAACAAAGGACACCGTTCTCAATATCAAAGTATTGGGAAAGTGACCTCCCTCCATTAATAACGCCTAACTTTAAGGAAACTTTGGAAACAATTTAAAATACACTCAGGATCTGTTCAAAGGCTCACCTGAGAAAGGAAAACTACAGGACCTGTAGCGAATTGCAACCGTCAGGGTCGTAAACCCGGTAAAACACCACACCCGCACGCGACGATTGTAAAAACAGTGACAATGATGCTTGTCTGTCCGCGCCAGAAATTGCGAAAGATGTTCAAAGTGACCGTTTTACTGCTGTACAACTATGAATGATTACACACACGCTGATATTCGCAGGAATATCTGGGGAAATTCCAAATTCCACACAATACACCTTAGCGAATAATCACAAGAAACGCTTTGCGTGGGCAATGTAAAGAGAAGATGATCCCATGGCTACCGGAAACAATTTTTGTTCTCAGATTAGACCCTAATTCAACTTTTTAGCTCAGATGGAACGATAAGAGTGCGGAAGGAGCCCAAATAAGTCTTAAGAAATTGATTTCTGAGACAAGCTATTAAACATAGCAGAGATAAGGAAATCAGGGCTATTTGTACCGCCAAATCCTGATGTGAAACTTTCGAAATCTTGCAGGGAGATAAAGTTTTGGGGCAGTTTATGTTGCCTCAGTGTAGTAACATTGACGTGCGTCGCTGGGATCATGACCAAAGAGGTTTACCTTGATTTGTTAGATATAAATATTGGCCAATTCTCAACAAAGACAGACTTTGGTCAGAGATTTATTTTCAGAAACGTCGCATATTAGACAAATATTACAAAAATCATCTCAAAATGCATCAAGGACAATGATACAAAGGTTTTGGACTGAATTTCAAATTTCTTGACCTCAACTCGATCGATCATAACCCAAAAATTCTGCAGCGTCTGGTGACAACATTAAAACTGACAAGCACGGCTCCCCGGCACACCCGTCATGTAATCTAACCCCGTTTGTGGGTTAGATTACCAAACGATTTCAATCAGTTATTGGGGTCTGACGAAATATTGAACCGCTAATACCCCCGTAGCATTAATTATGTAACGTGCAATTCGCAATATTTTGATATTAAAATATTTGCCGATTTAACAGTTTTATCTCCATTACTTTGAAAATTTGCATCAATGTAGTCCAATATATGGTGAATAATTGGTCTGAAAACAATTTTGAAATATCAGCCTGTTCTCGAGAAAATTGAAGTTGAATTTGAAATTAAAAATCGTAGCATTAAATAAGTTACATACTGTATATGTATGTATAGCCAATAATTTATGATGCAATAAAGCACGAGTATCACAGGTGTGAGCTAGATTTTCCATTGAGCAAGATATACATATGTATATGTATGTCTGGTTTTAGCCCTAATGCTTAAGACCAGTGTATTTTAATTAAGCATGACAAACATAGTTGCAATAACTTCAAAATTCACAAATTGATAACATTTATGTGAATAAATGACTTATCTCTGAACCCAATGGAATCTAAATTACTCCTTCCAGCAGTTTTATTCCAGTTTGTTAGTATGGTCATTCAAATTTAGTGGATCCCAATTTGAATTAAATTTGATCATATTTCCTTAAAAAGTATGATTGAAGAACTTACTCAGATTACTCAGATTTATGATCTGAAAGATCTCCTCAATAATTCCTTGAACGTTAAATTCTTCTATGTAACCCTCACGAGTTGTTCTAAATTTAATTTTCAGCATTTAATTTCTTATTTTTATCTGTCGTATACATAATTTCAATAGTAAATTTTTCAGTTTTGCATACTATACATACATGCATAAACGTTTCTTAAACGATGATCCATCCTTACGGAAGCACATAGCTTTTCTCAAGTTCAATTCTACAAATAAACCTCTCATAAGGATGCAATCCGTGATGTAAAAATCCACAAATTTTGCAAATAAGGAAGTACCTTACTTAATTTAAATATACATATGCTTGATGTCCAAATCAGTTAAATTTTTTATTGATTTCTCATCTTGACTTGCATAAGGGTGGTAAGCACATCTCCTGTTTCCAAAAATCATGACATCGAAACAAGTTCAAGTCAAGGTTTTCAAATCCTTGAGTGAAACCACGAAACCGGAAATTGTTGACATCATCGGTGAAATTCCGGAATGGGCGAGCGGGCGTCTTTTACGAAGTTGTGCTGCGAAGTAAGGAAATTCATCGTAAAAAAATAATTTATCCCAAATTCACACAACGGAGGTCTCCCAGCACATTGTCACAGATTTTGACCAAATTAGTTTCCATCCATAGACGAAATTTAATTAGCATGGAATTTGAAAAATACTTTATTCGTCAATTTTCAGGTTTGGCACAGATATTTGAATCCAAAGAGGAAAAACGCACAGAAAATTTGCAGGGTGCAAAATTCTTAAATCTTAGAGTCTGATTTTGCGCTCTGCAAATGAGTCTAAAGTTGAAGAATTTTGCACCCTGCCAATTTACAGCGCGTTACAATTTACCTCCATTAGCAAGGAATATTTACTTGGGACATAATTTTTTCCCATGCAATTATCGGTGCCAAACCTAAGAATTTGCAGATCGTGTCATTTGCAAATTCCAAATTTATTCAATTTGTGTTCGACTGACACTAATTTAATCAAAATCTACGCTGGGAGACCTTTATTGTCAGTAGTAATGTAATTACTAAAAAAACATCAATTTTATATTTCCTAGATGGGACTACCCTAAATTCAGGCTGAACCATGCTGTCGACGGGTACACGATGATAACAAAGTTTGAAGTGAAGGGTGGCACTGGTGGAAAAGTGGCCTTCACGTCAAAGTTTTTGCAATCTGAGGCATTCAGAAAAGCGGAAATTGCACAGAAGCCCATTCTTAACGAGTTCTCGACCAGATCGGCTGGTTCTGAGGGGAAATCTTCAATCGGGAAAATCGTGACATCCATTGTAACAATATTATACAAACAATTTTAGAAGATTTAGACTAACTATTTACCTAAGATGTAATTTGAAACAGATTCCAGACGTAACGGACAATTGCAAATACATCTGCACATCAGGCCTTTCTCGGAATCCTACCGTCTTGGGGGATAATGGTTTCATGTATTTAAAAACATTTTCAATTGACATAATTAAAAAAATTAAAACATCAAACAACCTTGTCAAACTATTGTTGTACACATTGGTGGAAATCTGGTATAATCAAGCAAATCTTAATTTCTGGGTATTAAATTTGCTACCGGTTGGTATTAAAATTATGTCGGAGCATAAAAACTTACCACGGATGTGGTAAAACTTTAATAACGAGCTGTTTATCACTAATACAAATTAGCAATATTTGCTTATCCATACCACTTTGAATCATATACTGGTATACTGGATTTCTATGAGTGTAGATAATTTATTATTGGCAAATGGCAAATTATGCAACTTAAGTTTAACATTAATAAGATAATCGCGTAAATATTTTACATGTTACTCTACAGATTCGATCTGGATGCAAAAACTCTGAACTGCGTTTCAAGTAATTTCGAATATTTATTTAGATATTTAAATCAAGTTAACAAACTCATTTTGATTTCTTGCCCCATACAAATTTAGGACACGATCCCGTCAAAGAGTTTGGCCTGCAGGCCCTTTCCTCCCACCCACTCACGGACCCAGAGACTGGCGAGACCTACAACGTCGGGCTGGATATAGTCCCCTCAGCAAAATGGAAAGTTGTCAAGTTTCCCGCTCAATGCGGAAAACTCGCGTTAAAGGAGACCATAAAGAAAGGGAAAATTATAGCGGTGCACCCATGCCGTGCGAAATTGTATGCGCCATGGCTCCACTCGTTCGGAATGTCGAAGAACTACGTGGTCTGGATTGATCAACCGTGTCATTTCAGCGTCACCAAAGCCCTCAAGGCTGCCCTTAAAGGGTTCTGTCCGAGAGAAGTGATGGAGTGGAGTCCGGAAAAGAAGAACCAGTTTTGTGAGTGACATTTGAATCGATTTCCATTTAAATAATATCGATAGTTTGCAAAAAGAAATATTGGCTAATGCACTCTTAAAAATTGTTACCCTTTTTGAAAAGTATGCGCACTCAATTTTGCATTATGTAAGTAAACTGCATACTGCATATAGAGAAAATTGTACTCTTTATCAAGATAACGGTACTCTGGATCAGAGTTGGGCAAAATCCGGATTAGTGATTATTAATCCAGGTTACAATTGACTAATCCTTAATCCAGTGAAGACAAATTTTTAAACCAATCCCTAATCCTTAATTCACAGCTTATAAGCTGTGAATTAAGGATTGATAAGAAATGTTGGTTACTCCCGTCGGATAAAATAGATGAAAACATTTGCATTCCCTTGTATAATGTAACAATATAATTTTTGTTATGAAATAAATGATTTTGATAAAAATTAATAATTCGTGTTATTTGACTGCAGTAATTGCATGGAGTTTAACTGCAAGTTTTGCATCAAATTATTCGTTTCTTTTGCGCAATATTCTACGCTCTAAATTGCATTAATTTGACGGTTATTTCTACGCAATATTCTTGAGGCTAAATTGCATGAATATGACTGTCAATTCTATGCAATATTGACAGTTTATTTTACGTTAAATATCTAGTATCTTTTCACGGATTTTTGCCGGCCATCAGTTGCTGCAATTTAACTGTATGACTTTTGCGTAAAAGTGATAGCTTTTGTTGATCGGGTAATCCTTTGTAAACTAAGTTTAATCTAGACAGAAAATTTTGATAGTAATTAAACCCATAATCAAAGACCCCTACTGAAAGTAATCCGGATTACTTCATCCTAATCTCTATCCTTAGTTTTCCACCCCCTGAAAAAAAAATCTAATCCCAGTAAACATGAGCAATTCTGTTGACCCTAATCCAAAAATCAGGAGGAACTAGTCCTTAATACTAAATCCGGAGAGAAAAAAAACATTTAATCACCCAACTCTGCTCTTGATGTAGCACAGTTTGCTTAATATAGATACTTCTCAAATGGGTAGCATTATTTCTAAGAGTGTACAAACATAAATATTTATAATGATTGGCAGATTTACTAAACAAGAAAACTCTGAAAGTCCTCAAGACCGAAATCATCTCCAAGGATGCCATTTTCTTCAATCATTTCCTCACCTGCCACGAAGAAAATGGCCACGTGATCCTGGACCTCTTTGGAATGCCAGGAATTCAATATTGCGACGTACAAGTCCTCGCCAAACTACGATCTGGAAAAGTTATGCAAGATAAAGACTGTCCTCGCCTTTACCGCTTTGTAATCCCTCTTATCGGCGAGCACGACTTGGCAAAATACCCGCAAAATAAAAATCTCGTCAGGTTAGTTAATTCTGTTCACTTTCATTCATTTGACCAATTGCGGTAATGATTGAGGATGATTTTCTTGCATTTTAATGAAAATGACTGAATGATTCCGTCATTTCAGATGAATGACTGTGAATGAAAAGATTTTTCACTCCTTTCATTTTTAACACTGTACTTAATACATGGGACGAAATAAGAAATGAATGAATTGTGATGAATTGAAATGAAATGAATTTTGAAGGGAAATGACTAAATATGAATGAGAAATCTGTATGACCGACTTTTGAATGAAAATATTTTTTTAAACAGAATTAATTCCACCGCAAAAGCGGTTCGAATTGGGGATAAGCTAATTCTCGAACCGGAACTAATGTCCGAAATCGCCATGGATTTTGCGACCTGGAACAAGAAATTATTTTCCGGCGAACAAATCCGCTTTATTTGGACGACTGGAGCCCTATGTCCGTCCGTGCATCACCACAAAGTTGCAAAGTTTGACGTGAAGACGAGGAAATTTCTGACCTGGGAAGCTGAGCAGGATCAACATGTCGGCGAACCCTGTCTTATTCCCCGATCAGGTGCGATCGAGCAGGATGACGGGCTAATTGTTCTGTTTGTGAATAATTATCTGGAGGAATTGGGCAATGAAAAAAGAAAGGATTTTCTGATCTGGTTGAACGCCAAGGATTTAAAGGAAGTGGGGCGAGCTTATTTTTATTCTGAAATTCCGATCGCACTTCACTCGATTTGGATGTCAAATTGAAAAGCTATGCATACAAATTATGGGATACTTAGTAGTAACTTCACCAGGATCAATTAATCAATTAAATATGGATAAATATTCATTTTGGTGATAAGTAAATAAAATAGAATGCATAGAACAATCAATGTATGAATAATCTAATATATGTCATGCAATCTTTAGATTTCATTGCTTCAAATTTTACCAAATACTGCGTTTACTTGAATCAATATAGATATTTACTCTTTAATATTTCCTTTCATATACATAAATCTTTAGTTATCTGTACCTATATCAACGTTTTTATGTATGTGTAAATTTTCCACACTTCCCATAGGAATCTCAGTCTCGTCTTCGTGTTCTCGTTTAATTATATATGACAATTATGATATAGAGCACGTACATATGTATATGTAAACAGCATAAACGTCGGCAGGAAATATATTCATACGAGAAATATGGATCAGGATGACAGGACAGAACAAAACCATAAAACAACTTCACCCTCACCCATCAACACATATACAATTAAAGTATGAATATATGTAAATATGTATGTACATATCTGTACATACTGGTTACCATGACGGTTAACTTGTGCAGCACAAGTTGTGCTACATATTAAGACTCCAGGAGACGTGCATGAACCTTTTTTTGATCCATACTGACAATGCAATGGAGGTCTCCCAACGTATGCTCACAGATTTGGACCAAACTAGTGTCAATCGATCACAAATGTAATTAGTATGAAATTTGCAAATGGCACTTCTGCCAAGTTTAGCGGAGATATTTGCATAAAAAGAGGAGAAAATTCACGCAAAATTTTCATTTTCCAAATTTGCTGCTTTCCTGATTTGGATGCAAATATCTCCGCTAAACTTGGCAGAAGTGCCATTTGCAAATTTCATACTAATTACATTTGTGATCGATTGACGCTAGTTTGGTCCAAATCTGTGAGCATACGTTGGGAGACCTCCATTGTAAGTACACATTCTATTCTTATCTATAAACCTGAGGTCAAATTCCGGTTTAAAAATAAGTAAAATGTGGAACAGCATGCAAATCACGCGTTACCATTTTTACAAGTAATTTTATCTGATAACCGCAATTGTAAAGGATGATAAACAATGCGAATATGTAATTAAATATTTAAGAACAATAATGATGCTCATTAGGAGAAAAACTGAGGCAGAAACCACCAAATTCTTGGATGTCCCATGAGGAACGGACCCTGATTTGCTTATTACTCTTTTTACATAAATCCTTATTTCTTTCGTTGCTTAACCCTCGTCGTATATATAAAGACAAGTGATTTTCATGTCTCTAAAATATCTAAAGTACAAAAAACCTTCTTATATTTACATATTCACCTTGTCGAAATATTTTTAATCACATTTTAATTAGCACGAATAAATTAAGATGCAGAATTTTAGCGACAAAAATCGACACAACATGGAGTTGCGATCAACTTCTTCACGAGAGGAAAGGGGCTTTTCAAATTTTAGTAAACGCTGCAATTTATATTTTTATATTAAAAATTAAGTTTCTCTTCCACGAGTGATTTAAGTGTTTATGTTTGTAAATTTTCTGTATTCACCCTGTTTGATTTCAGATCCGAAGAAAGCACGTGCCCACGCTAACGATGCTATGTCGAAAGTTTTCAGGAATCCGTTGGTCAGTTAAATTCTTTCATATTTACTACTGATTTTTTAAAATAAAATTTCTCCCGGATACCATACTGATTTGAAAACTATTCCTATTAATAAATTAAAATTTTCATTATTGCCTATTAATGACGGACGAGTATTGATAATCAAAAACAATGAAAAACTGATCGAAATCAATTATTGATTTCGGTCAGTTTTTTTGACTTTTTAAGATTGGTTGGATGTATGAAAAGATATGAAATTTTAAAAAATATATAAACCAACTTATTTCCTTCAAGTTTTACATACAATTTAAAACGAAATGCTTTTATTTTTGTGTCGTAGTGAGTTATGAATTTATATACGAATGTATTATTGTATTTCGTGCCCCGTGGAAAATAATCTGTTACACAAATGTGTGCGTACATATCTTTCGTGAACGGACTTTTTATGCACGGCACAAAAGAGTTAACCATTTACAAGCATTCATTACTGAATTCATTACTAATTCACTTGCTCAAACCAGTACCAAATATTTAATTTGATAGCCCCACCCACTTAATCGAACAATTTTGAATTTTTTGCCTCAGATTCTCGACGCCATCTTCACCAAGGTCCCCCTCCCCGATCTGAAGGCGTTTCGTCTCGTCTCCCGTGAATGGGCCGACGTCGCCTCCACCTTACTAGGAAAACTGGCTTATCTCCACACCAACAAGCTTTTCACCTACAAGTGGATCAAGTTCAGACAGGTGCTACCCGTCAACGACAAACTGACCCGACGCCTCCTCATCTCCGGCGAATTCGACAGGTCCATTCCGTCCAACAATAAGAAGGCCGACGTTACTGCAAAAGTTCTCACCCACGTGGCGAACGTGTCTCATTTAACGCGCGAAATTAAATTTGTCGCCGCCCGAAAAGAATTTGTTCCCCCTTTTCTGGAAGGAATTAGAGTCTTGGGGTCCACAAAAGCGCACGGAATTAGCATCCTGAGCGCGTGGGAAGACGATACCATGTACACAATTCCAGCCGAGGCGTGTCGCAAACTAGCCCCGCAACCGGACTTAAGCTCCCTCACTTTCAAAATTTTTTCAGACTTTAAAATTTTATCAGAAATTTCATCTTACTCCAGAAACTTAGACCGCAAACATAACCGCACCACGGGTTGTTACGAATTTCAACCCTTGGTCCAAATCTGGCTGGAAGCTGCCCCTAATCTGACCACGCTGGACGTCGCGGCGTCCCTCTATCCTAATTTGGAGGGGTGTAAAAGTCTGAAAATTCTGAAATTTAAATTCGTAACGTGCAAAGTACATTTTCCTTATCTCGATTTGGACAATGTGACCAAGATGCTGGGACAGGTGCAGGATTCCTTGGTCGAGTTGGAATTATCGCAGTATATGGGGGACGGCTGTGCCGTGAAGGAGGTAAGGATTTTGTGCAATTTTTAGCGTAGCTTCAACTTAAGTTTGCCAGGTTAAAACCATAATTTCGCAATGCTACGTATAAAAACCGGTGTGTTGTCATAATTTGATTTACAATGGAGGTCTCCCAACGTATGCTCACAGAGTTGAACCAAACAAGCGTCAATCGATCACAAATATAATTAGTATGAAATTTGCAAATGGAACTATCTGCCAATGCGCAGGTTTGGCGGAGATATTTGCATAAAAAGAGGAGAAAACGCACCAAGAGGCTGGCATATTTTTCATTTTCCAAATTTCCTGCGTATTTCTTCTGCTTAGAATACAAATATGGACTGGTCACTGAATGAAAGTGTCAAGGTTCTCCCTATTTGTTCAACCAGTTAACAGTTAATTTTGCTTATGTAGGAAGCATAAAAATTGGCAAATTTGATAAGCTTTCTAAAACCGAAAACATAATTTGATTATCTCTTTTCGTTAGAAAATGACAGCACAAAATGTAGGGAAAGTGGAAAAATTAATTTGCCACTCGTGCAAAAAAGTGATTTTCTCGGATCGGAAAAAGGATCGTGACCACTTTATCCATCAAGGGATGCACCGGACAAAATTAATCATACACTATACAGATATAAGGATTGTGAAAATGCAAAATATAAAATTTGGCCTTGTCAACCTGTCCGCCAGAAGACTAAAACACGGACGAGAAACGCGAAAAAGTTTTTTGAAAAAACCTCAACATATCCATGAGGGTTGCACCCAGGAAACTAAAAATTTCAAAAACCTATCTGCGTCAGATCAAAGCCAATCAGATGTGCTTCAAAATTTGCAACACTAAAACCGTGCCAAAATTCAACCAAGATAAAAAAGCCGGATCTAAAACAATTTATGGAAAACTTGTTGAGAAAATGTTGAAATCGATTCCCAGAAGTTTGTCGTTGCAGATTGTCAAAACTACTACCTCGTTGACCTCGGAGCGTAAATCCTGTAAAGTTCTACTCATGTAGAAGTAAAAATGACGTTCGTTCGAAATATAAATTCAAAACCAAGGAAAATTTCCATTGAAATATATAAAATGGCTGGCGATCGACAAATATCGGAGCGTCTCAAATCCATTCGCTTCCAGCAAGAATATGAACTTTGGACTTTATTTAAAAGAATGTGTCGTCAAAAGATTGATCCCCTCTATCAGAAAAAAACGTGTTTGATTTTGGCCTGACATGGGTACGTTCTGGAATGCCAAAATAGTGCCAGGGTACCATCGAGGGAAAAAAACTAATTTCTTCGAGAAAAAAGGCAACGCTCCAAACGTACCTCAGCGTCGACCCATTGAAAGATTTTAGGCATTAATTGAGAAACAGTATACTCAGAAAAAAAGGACACCTCATAATTTCAAAAAATTTAAGCGGGTTATGGAGAAAGTCATCTTAGGAGTTGGTGAAACGAGTGGCGAAGCGCTCATGAGAGGTGTGTCACAAAGTGTTCTCTCCACTGGTAGGGAAGGTGTACTTGAACCAATGAAGGATCAAAAAACCTCGGTCTGGTCATCGTTAGTATTGCACGAAAGTTTCATTAAATTTGATTCATGCATTCATTTTTGGGATGTAAAAATAACTTGACGCTTTCATTCAGTGACCAGTCCATATCTCCGCCAAACCTGCGTATTGGCAGATAGTTCCATTTGCAAATTTAATACTAATTATATTTGTGATCGATTGACATTAGTTTGGTCCAAATCTGTGAGCATACGTTGGGAGACATCCATTCTTAGTTTACATTGATTTGTTTACGTATGTATGTACATACATCAGTTTTGATGGAGACGACGAGTGAGTAAACACGTAGTTTATAAAAAAATAGACCAACAAACTCGGTAAATTTTCGAAATACATATTGGGGGTAAATTTACGTCACTTCGTGTCGTGGCATGAGTTACGAGATTTTGTGACCATGGTCAAATTTTGTCATCGAAACTCGCGTTGATATTAAGGTTACGAGGCGTAATTTCGCAAATTATGTTATTACTGATCCTTAATTTATGAGACGCTTGTACAGGGTGTCGTGAATCGACCAAATATGTACTTGATCAGAATTCTTGATCATATACATATGTACCTGTTCAAAAAATTTTGTTTCCTTGGAAACTCTGTCATCCCGATTTCTGAGTGAAGATTTTTACTCATATTTATTCAGTCATTTTCGTTTAAGTTCATTTCATCCGATTTCATTCTTTCAATCCTACGTGGATAGAGAGTAAATACATAATTTTTTTAAACGCATCACAGACCCAAACTGTTTACGAGCTTCCCGTCATGTCGAAACTTACCAGTCTGTCCATCCGTACCGTAAATGTGTACCGAATTCGTGGCTTTTTTGATGAGGACCACTTCCCAAAATTGAAAACCCTCTCGGTCCACCACGGATCAGGCAAGTCGTCCTTGTCCTCCCATCTAAACTTGTGGAGGGGACATAGCGGAGTTGAATCTCTCGCCCTGACCATGGATTTCTGGACTTCGGGGGACGAGGAGGATTTCGAGGGAAAAATTATCCACTTATTTCCGGCCGTTAAGGAATTCGATTTAACGCTGAAAAACATAAGTTATACGTCAATTCCTACCTTAAACCGGAGTATAGAATCGTTCAAAATGTGGGACTTGGAACGGGTCGACGTTGTCGTGGATTGGGTGAAAAGATGCTGCGTGTGGGTTGAAGTTCTAAAAGCTGTGTCCGTTTTTAAAGGTAAGATTTATATTGAAATTAGATCGTACGCAATTATTTCGAAACTTATTAACTGATTACATTGAGGGTATTCATTATTTCGCCGTATTTTTCCAAGAGTAAATTAATTTATGTGATTTTGCCATGAGAAATCATTGTATGAATAACGGAAACGTAAACCATGTTCAGCTAGGATTATTTTTCGACCAACTCAATTTAAGAGACCAACCCTGTAGAAACCATGGTTAGTCTGACAGTTGTGCAAATGCGTAAAATCCAGAGCGCAAGCTAGCGACAATTTAAATTATTTAAATTTCTGCACAGATTCCGCTGGAAAATTGAGCATCCCTTAACATAAAATTTTTGCATCTGCGCAACTAAATTTTGTTTCAAGGTGGTAAAAAATAATCCGGGTTGAACATGGTTTGCGTCCCCCTTGTAAGCTTACGATTTTTACGAAGCTATTGATTTTTATTTTTAAGATACGGAAGAAAAATGAATACCTTCAATATTAATGAAGGGTCGTAATAATTTCAGGAGATAAAAGCCTCCTCTTTTCGTACATTGACGTTTCGGAGGACCAATTTTCTCACCACATTCAAGATCTCGTCTTGTACAGTAGAGGATTTAAGAGGGTAGAAATCTCGGGGCGTGTGGTCAGTAAAATTAATTTGAGATACAAATTTTTTCAGTATTCAGATTTCTATGCAATATTTCAGGAACCAGAATTTATGGAACGAATTCGACCCATTTTTGAAGCCAGTGGTGCACCCATTTATTTGACGGAGGCGTAGTTCACAAGGAAATGGAAAGCATGGATTACTTTCGAATGAGGCAAAAAACTTACTTATCTCAAACCATGAAGATTCCATAACCTGGAATGATGACGCCTGTGTGGAAGGAAAGACTAAACGAAGCGAATCTAATAGTTAACATATAAACAAGCCGACGCGAAATTAACAAACCTAAACATATAAATAAACCAGACAATAAATCTATGATTCTCAAACTTGGCTGGAAATAGAAAACGAAAAATTAATTGGTTACGTACAATTTTACTTATTTATTGGAGGTAGGTTGCCAAAACGTAAAATATAAATCTACTTAGAAAAGAACTAAGTTTCAAAAAAAGTTCCTGCTCTAATGCTAATAAATGTTTAACGGGCGAAATTTTTTTAGAAATATTGTTATACGGGCATTTCCATGCCAACTCGCAAAGTAGGCATTCAGATAGGGTGACCATATTTGTCCTGACCAAAACCGGGACATTTCTTGGCAAAAAAAAATTTGCATAATATCTAGTGCTTGGCGAAAAAATATTCCATAATATCTAGTGCTTGGCGAAAACATTTTCCATAATATCTAGTGCTTGGTGAACAAATTTTGCATAATATCTAGTGCTTGACGGTTCCTATACCACCGAATTTTTGGAAAGAGACAGGAAAGGCAATTAAGTAAATATGACATACACGTTACTGGTACTGGTTCGTAAACTTCGTAACGCAAAGGGGGGTGGGAGGGAGTTCAGGGCCCAATGATATCGTGCCTATATGACACATGTTAAAGGGGGTAGGTGGGTGTCCAAAAAATCAAAAATTTGCGTTATGAAGTTTACGAACGTCCCCTTATGTCATAAAATCTACTTTTTCATCAGTATTTTGGCGAAAAAGTGAGATAATTTAATTTTTTTTCTACGATTTTAAAAACCGGGACGCTTTATCAAAACCGGGACATTTTCGGGACGCCGGGACAGGTTTTGAAAGCCGGGACATGTCCCGGCTAAACCGGGACGAATGGTCACCCTACATTCAGAGCCCTTATTAAAAATAAATATAGGTATGTACAAATGCAAGTATCACCAATTATGTAAATTTCTATGCGAGAGATGCCATTTTTATTACCTTATTATACAAATTTTATTTATTTTCATTTTCATTTTCACATATACCATGATTTGCGTACGATTTGTAAGAATCATTTACTAATCATTTACAAGTCATGTAAAATCCTTATGCAAAAATTCATAAAACTATGTACACTCATGTAAATTTATGACGCACTCAACAAAGTGCGGAGAGAGAAAACCGAGCAGCACACATTCCGCGGAGACGACAAGTAAATACGTGTAAAACAGATGACCAGCAAATAAATAAACATTAAATATTTAATACGTATTTTGTATTTCATTTTTTGCACTTACAAAATTAACAAAAGTTAAAAATACACAGTCATTTTCGTCGTCTTCTTAATCTGTGAAAGGTTGTTTGCGTAAATAAATACGTACTAAACTAGTTAACCAATAATAATATTTTAAGTTTTTTTTACAGGTTAAACATTTCTTCGCCTTTGTTATGAAAGATCTTTAAGAAAAATTGTGTAGTTCAAAGTTCAAGGTAAATAAATAATTCCCTAAGTAATTATAATTAACCAATATTTTAAGTTTTTATCGTTTCAACATCATTTCATGTAAATATGTGTATTTATTAAGAATCAAGTGTTAATTTCATACATATTATGTTTGTCGTTAATTTCAGGTGCGGGCGACGCAATCGATAACATGGAGAATTTTAGCGATGAGAATCAACAAAATATGACGTTGCAGTCAACTTCTTCTTCACGACCAGAAGCGAGCTTGCCAAACCTTAGTAAACGCAGCAAATTTATATTTCTACCACAAAAATTGAACTATTGAACTTTTATTTATTTCGCAAGACATTAACTTTCTCTAAATTCACTCCGTTTAGTCCCAGACTCGACCGAGGTCAACGCTAACGATCCCGTGTCGAACGTTTTAAGGAATCCGTTGGTGAGTTAACCTTAACCTGTTTCAAACATTCATTTCTTAAGTGAAGATGAGTTTTATTGCATGAAATCGAGTTCATTCTTCAATTCGTTTCTTCAACCCGACCCCTTAATCCAACAAATTTAAATCTCCCGCCAGATACTCGACGCCCTCTTCGACAACCTCAGGCTCCCCGACCTTAAAACGGCTCGCCTCGTTTGCCACGACTGGAACGACGTGGGCCTCACTTTACTAGGAAAACGGGCTCCTTTCCATATCAACAAATTTTTCACCTGCACGGCGTCCAAGTACTCCGGCGTACCACCCGTTAACGAAAAACTGATGCGACGCCTCCTCATCTCACACAAGTTCCACCCGTCCTTCGGGTTGGTCAAGAGGAAGGCAGAACTTCTGACAAAGGCGCTCACCCAACTAACTCAATTAACTCGTGAAATTAAATTCGTCATCACGACGAAGGAATATGTCCCCGTTTTCATTGAAGCATTTAGGATTCTGGGGTCCACAAAAATCCAACACATTAATATCTTCAATAATGTCAAAACACTTCGAGCCCAGGATTATCAACGCCTCACCCCGCAACCTGACTTGACCTCGCTCAAGTTGCAGACATGGCAAGACTTTCGATCTGCTACTGGTTGTCCGTCTCACCTCCAAATCTGGATCGATGCTGCCCCCAATTTGACCTCTTTAGACTTCAAGGGGTGTTTTTATCCTCATTTGGAGGGGTGCAAAAATCTCACAGTTTTGAAATTTGAATTCTCGCCCCGCTATGTGGATAAAGATGGCCTCAATTTGCACAATTTGATCAAGATGCTGGGACCAAATCAATAAAGAAAACTTTGTTGCGTCATTTGGAGCACCGGTTTCCTGTTACCGAAGATATCGTATGCGCATGTTTGCTTGATCCAGGCATGAAGCGATTAACAATTATTGAGACCTACCTTGCTGAAAAGAATCAATCGAAGCTCAAATTCTTAATACAAATGTGCAAGTCATATTGGTGGGGTTCGTGGCGCTATTGTTCATAAAGAGGTAAATTTAATTTTTTCTGTATTCACTTCACACCAATTTTTTCAAAATCAGAAAAACATCAAAAATAATTTTTAATTAATTAATTAAATTTGTATCAGCTCCAATAGGGTGCAGAAAATGGCGTCAAGGATGAGCCAAAAACCAAAAAGAAGAAAAACTTTGTGGACATCAAAAATGAGTTGTTGAAATTTCTGTCTAAGCAAATTTAGTTTATCCAAATCGCCCCAAATATAAAACTCTTGAATTTATGATGACGATAATAGGAGGTATGGTGTATACTAGACACTGAACGGTAATTTCGGGTTACATATATAATAAAATGAGGCGCCTGGTTGGATGAAAAGTTTGCATGGAAAAAGTGAGACGAAGAGAAATGGATTTCATACGACCCTGACTCGAAATGATGATGGATACCCACCGCGAACCACTTTTCTCACTCTGTCTCACATTCCCATGCGAAATATGGAAAACGGTTTTGTGAAACACTTGACGTGGTATTCATCTTAATCGAAAAGTAAACATGCAACAGATGGAAATCAAACAAATAATTAATTAACATTTAATACGTATAAATACGTATATATGTACATATAAAATTATAAATATAAAATTTTATATTTTGTGTTATTGTATACTTTTTGTACAGCATAAAAACAACAAAAGTTAAGAACATTGTCGTCATTTTCCAAATCTGTGGTTTACGTAAATAAATATTTAGCTCACTAAATAACTAATATTTTGAGTTTTTATCGTCTCATCATTTTCCCATCATTTTCTCATCATTAGTATTGTAAGTGCTTTTTTAAATTAAGAATAACGTTATTTTCACATTTTGTGTTTATCTATATTGTTATTTAAAGGAAAGGACGACGCAGTCGTCACAGTCACAATTTTCGACAACGCAGAATTTTAGCGACAAAAATCCACACAGCATGAAGTTACGGTCAAGTTCTTCGCGACAAGGGGAGAGGAGTGTCCCAAATTTTAGTAAATACCTATATATTTTTTTTGTAAAAATTCAAGTTTTATTTATTACTTAAGGGAGGTATTAATTTTTCTACAAGACCAAAATCGACACAATATGAAATTGCGGTCAAATTCTTCACGAGAAGAGAGGACTCTTCCAAATTCTGGTAAATGCTACAATAAACCTATATTTTTATTGGCCAGGTTTTCTTTGTTGGGAGAGTTTAGTCCGTTTAGTTCCAGCCCCGAAAAAAGTACGTGTCGCCGCTGACAATGCAATGTCGAAAGTTCTCAGGAATCCGTTGGTCAGTTAACCTCTTTGAAACATTCATTTCTTCAGTCAAGCTAAGTTTTATCGTATGAAAATGAGTTCATTCTTCACCCGACCCATTAATCCAACAAATTTGCATTTCCCGCCAGATCCTCGACGCCATCTTCGCCAAGCTTGGCCTCCCCGATCTGAAGACATCTCGTCTCGTTTGTCACGACTGGGACGACGTCGCCGCCACCGAATTAGGAAAACGGACTCTTTTCCACCTCAACGAATTTTTTGCCTGCAAGGCGTCCGGCGCCCCCCCTGTCTTGAGGGATTTTGATATCAGGGTAATTTATACAGACATGGCACTCATACATTTGTATTTCGTCCTCTACGGAAAATAAGATATTACACAAACGTGCCTTCATATTTAGATTGTGTAAATTCAAGAGGACAATTAACAATTGAAATGATTTGTTCAAATCTGTATCTGATTATCTGGTCAGTTTAATTTTAAATTTTGTTCCAGATCCTGGACTCCATCTTCGCCAATCTAAGCATCCCCGATCTGCACACGTCCCGTCTCGTTTGCCACGACTGGAACGACGTGGCCTCCACCTTTCTAGGAAAACAGGCTCCTTTCCACATCAACGAACTTCCAGCCTGCAAGGCGTCCCAGTATCCCGGCGTGCCCCCCGTCAACGACAAACTGTTGAGACGCCTCCTTATTTCACTAGATTTCCACCCGTCCTTCGGGTTAGTCAAGTGGAAGGCTGAGGTTCTCACGAAAGCGCTCACCCAACTGACACAACTATCTCAATTAACTCGTGAACTTAAGTTTGTCATTACGACGAAGGACTATGTCTCCGTTTTCATTGAAGCATTTAGGATTCTGGGGTCCACAAAAATCCAACAGATTTGCATTTTTAATCAGGTCACAAAAATCCCAGCCCAGGCGTATCAACCACTCCCCACGCAACATGACTTGACCTCCCTCAAGTTCAAAATTATGCCAGAAATTCGACATTATAACGCCATCGGCTGTCCGTCTTATATCCAAATCTGGATCGATGCTGCCCCCAATTTGACCTCTTTAGACTTCAGGGGGTGTTTCTATCCTAATTTAGAGGGGTGCAAAAATCTCACAGTTTTGAAATTTAGTTATTTCACCAACTATGCGGATAGAGGTAGCCTCAATTTGTGCAAGGTGACCAAGATGCTGGGACAGGTTAAGGATTCCTTAGTGGAGCTGGAATTATCCCATAATATCGCTATATGTGCTTCAAAGGAGCCGGTAAAGATTATTCGTTATTTGTTAGTTAAAATAGTTTGCGCATGGAAAAAAAGTGGCCGGGTTTCGTAAAAATCATAAGCGTATTAAAATGATTTTCGATGACAAAATCTCGTAAGCGTCAAGTATGTTATTTGGTTATTTTAGGATATGAAAAAATAATGAATACCCTGAATATAAATATATACATGTGAGCACTTTGCATAGGGTGTACTCGCGACAAACCCTAATTTTGAACGGATCGACGCATTTCGCAAATCAAGTTCAAAAAATTCAAATGCTTCATATATATACGGTAAGAGTAATCATTGTTCCTTCGTATTGTAAAATGAGTTACGACGCCGTCGTAACGACGGTAACGAGATTTTTGCAAGGCGAAGTAATTTTGTCTTCAAAAATCACGTTGCTAAGTTTATCACTTTTGCGAAGCTTGGGTCCAGGATAGCCCACCATACCTGTTCACATTCGTTCACTAAAGTGAGTTTGAATATTGAATATGTACGAATTATTCAAAATTTTTGAATTTTGAATGAATAAATATGCCCCATTCATTTATTGAATGAATATTGAATGAATAAATATGTCCCGGACATTTATTTAATGAATAATGAATGAATGAATAAAATTTTGAATGAATGAATTGAATAAGGGATGGGTGAATGTAATAAATGAATTGTGAATAAATTTGGCCCTCATTCACCTCACGTTGAAGTGAATGAGTCTGTGGTCTGTGATGTGTAATCATTCTTTATGATTGTGGTTGAAATTCTCATTCCTTATGTGCATCATCATTGCGTGCCGGGAACTTCGGTCGGAGCATGGTGGGAGCCAATTCCAACTCATTTTAGATTATCACCCGTGTGCCCAGATTAAAAAATAAATAAAAATCGTTCGAATACTTTATACCGAGGGATTAAACTTTATAAGTTAACAATTGCAACCTAGAGAAGTTATGACATCAAAAGTCAACCCTGGCGATGGCGAAGCTGTCCATAAGGATAAAGAAATCGTCGATATTGAGCATGATTCTGAGGGAAGTTCCAAAAAGCCTAAACTCGTAAAACAACCAGGTTTTGAAAATTTGCCGAAGTTCCGTTTCTTCTTTGAGAAGAAGTTCAGCTACCTTGGACATTCAATTGAGTCCCAAAAGTTCTTTGCAACTTGTAAAAAGTGCACCGAGGCTGGTAAAAAAAGTCGTGTCTACTCGTTTGATGAGAGCAACTTTAAAGCAAACGGAAATCGTCATTATAGAGTATGGATAACTTTATATACCTACGTGAAATTTATTAAGTGGTAATTAAATTCGTTAATTGTTATCGAATATTTTTGCAGAACTCGCATAAAGATGTGGCTTTGGAAATTGAAATCCCACAAGAAAATCATAAGGTGAACGAATTTTTTCACTCAAATCAAAACAAATATAATAAAAATGACCCTATCCAATCAAAATTCAACTCGAATCTGCAAGTTTTGGTCTCCGTTGATGGGCTCCCTTTCAGTTTTGTTAATGGGATAGGATTCAGGAACTTAGTATCTGACCTTAATCCACGAGTTATAGTTCCTGACCGAGTGACCTTGGCAAGAAAATTAGCAAAAACGGTCAACAAGATTGTATGTAATTTTGACTTACTGTAATACAGTAAGTAATACATAAAACTATAATAAAACTTTATGTATGCAATTTTCCCGCTTATGTGAATTCCAGATAAAACCTAAAATTAAAGATCCACTCAACCATGTTCAGGATTACAATGTTCACATATCATCTGACATATGGACAAGTAGACAGGGTGACGGAATTATGGGACTTAAATACCATTATATTCAGAAAGATGAACAAAACCGGACATGGAAATTGGTGTCCTTTCAGCCGTGCAATTTAATGAGCGCCACACTGGAGAAAATATAAAGCACAAATTCCAGCAATCTCTAAACTCGTTAGGAATTAACACGGCCAAGGTGACTAATACGCATAAACATGCAATTTTGTTAATGATAAATAATAGTGCAATACTTTTAAACTCAGATCGGTTATCTTGTGACTGACGGTGCTAGCAATATGGTGTGCGGCTTCAAGAATTGAACCGAGGAGGCTGAAAATCTTATGACGGATGAAGACGATTCACAACCGGAAGACTCTGATATTAGTGAGAGCTCTGAGGATGAAGAGGAAGAAAGTAATGCAGATGATGAAGTCACTGTAGCGACGCCAAATATTACAATTGGTGAAAAAGTCAGGATTTCTTGTTATGCACATACCTTGCAATTAGTTATCAAAGACGTCATTGGAAAAGGCGGGAGACCTAAAGAAGTTCTGGATTGTGCTTTCAAAATTGTAAAGTATTTCATGCGGTCGAATTATTGGAGAAAGCGACTTAAAAAAGTCGTGGGCAAAGTGTTTATAAAGCCAGCTGCTACTCGATGGAATTATATTTACTATGTTTTGGAGCGTTTATGCCAGGTAATTTCAGATCGACCTATTTGAATGACAATAAATTTCAATTTTAATTTAGGATTTAAATTTTGGGGTTTTGCAGGATAAAGTGTACGGTGAGGTTTGTAATCTAATAAGAGAAGCCAGCACTTGTCCCAAGAAGCCAAAAAATCTGCCACCCACACCAAGCATCGAGCCGCAAGAAAAAATGATCGAAATAAAAAATCTCCTGAAGCCAATATGTGACGCAACGAATAAACTTCAAGGTGATGGGGTAACCAGTAGTTTGATTTACTACTCGATAGTCAATGCATTTAATGGTACGAATGTGCGCAATATAATTTGTTCGATTCTTTGACGATGATACATATAATTTATTCAGTTCCCCGATTCAATTTTTCTTAATTTGTAGAAATTGCTAAAACTCCAACTACACGATTCACTTGTATGAAAGCACAATTACTGGGTGGACTGAAAAATCGATTCGAGAAAGCAATAAATAATGACCCCCACATTATCCTGAGTGCTTTGTTGGACCCTCGTCAAAAATCCGACGTGTTTAAAAGTACGAAAACATTTTAATCTTATATGTAATACGTTTAATGTTGAACAATTTTTAGTCAAACCTGCCGTGTATGGAACCAGAAGCCTTGAAACTCCTTCAATTGACAAGGTCACTGATATGCTCAAGTCATATTGCAAGGAAGATCCTTCGGCTGAAGCAGCATTACACACATTTCCTGAAAACGAAGATAACGACGACGATCCATTTTCCATGCTGCCAAGGATTGTCAATTCGAGTACTACTGTCTCTCATGAAGTAGACAAATATTTAGCTCTACAAAGAGAACCGTCAAAATCCGATCCACTAGAATTTTGGGCTAAAAACGAAACCAGCTTTAAAGAATTGTCAAATTTGGCCAGTCAAGATCTTGCAATTCCGGCATCCACGGGCAGTGTAGAGCGGCTTTTTTCTCTACTGGGATCATTTGGACGTTCAAGGAGATCAAGTCTGAACCCGAAGTCTTTGGAAAATTTAGTGCTTCACCGAGAATATCGTCGTCCGATTTTGATGAGATCTCATCCAGCCATAAATCTCTCAAAAAAAGGAAAATAAGTCTGGAGCCGGACAACAAGTGCAATAAGCGGAAAACATTGAGTACGCGAGCAATTTGTTTTATTATTTATATGAATTCTATTTTTAGTAGGAGGAAGAGTACACAAAGGTGGTAATATTCGATATTGATCCTGTTGGATATTTTGTTCTATTTCGTTGAACGCAGAGCCCTCAGAAAATGTTCGAGATTATTAAATTGTCCGAAAATTAAAAAATATATTTTACATATGAGTATGATAAAGTAGTCATCTAAGATCACCAGTGGCTCCTGGGGAGCTTAACATTGTGGGATAAAGGGGGACTTGTGCAAAATACGATTTTGCTGAATTTCCCCGTCTCAATCAAGATAATGAGAATGGAAAATTTTGAAAATCTATCCAAAATTGGATTTTTGGTGTAAGGATTTGGTTCTGCAAGTTATTATACAAATTATCTCTTTGACTGGTGTACCTTCCTCTTAAATGACAATGAAACCATAATATATTTGATCACATTTGACTATAATCAATTATATTTTGATTTTAATGTCAATTGCTAAGAATGGAATTCATCTAAACAATAAAACAAAATGGTACTAATTCGCTCAAAAATTAGTTAATAAGTAGATACCGTATATATTTGTAATACAAATATTATGTAGAGTGGATAATACCGATTTTAACACATAAATATTTCAAAAAGCCTCTACCTCTAAGAATCTTGGAAATTTTTTGACTCAAATGCTTTCATCATTGCCTTGAAATTCATGTCAAATTTAAAGTTCGAGTTCGCCCGAGTAACGCGGCATATGCATATTACATAATAATTTGAACTCAAATTATGGATGGCCTACCATGTGCAAATTGTGAATACAAAAATAAATGAATAAACCGTCGCAAACGCATGTAGCTAAAGGGTGAAATAAGTGTCAAATATACGTCAAAATGAATATCATATTGATTTTGCCACAACTTTTGGAATACTCAATTTCATATTTCATCTATAGATTCCATTTGAGTGAAAATCTCATTTTCCCCCAGACCACACCCCCAAGCGCCAGATGGTGTGGCACAACTCGGGAGCACTAAATTTCACTTATATGTATTTCATTCGTAGCTTCAATTTCTGAAAAAAACTCATTATTCCCCGACCACACCCTCTGACGGCAAAGGGGGTTGTCTTAGTGGTCCCACAAGTTGATAGGATCCTCCTCGGGTCCTATGCGTAATGTCGAAAACCGGTTTCGATTATCTCGATCCGTTCTCCTATTATCCTGTCTTCGCATAAAGTAGCTGAAGCTACTTAATAAATGAACGAATATTTGAATGAATAAATGAACGAATATTTGAATGAATAAATGAATATTGGAATGAATAAATAAATATTTTAATAAATTAGTGAATATTTTAGTGAATGAATAAATATGTTAATGAATGAATGAATATTTGAATGAATGTTCCCTATTGTCAATGAATGAATATTTGAATGAATGTTGCCAATTGTCAATGAATATATATTGAATGAATGTTGCCTGCACTTCATGACAATGAATGAATAATTGAATGAATAATTTTTTGTTGAACACGTATGTAGCCCACATCACCTAATTAATCCAAGTCGGATTGGTTTTCTCATGACCCTACCAAGTCGAATCGCATAAAACCAGCGCTCCGACTACACTCTGGCTTGACCCCTAGATTATTCTTCGAAGACTATTTTTTCGATGTGTATGTATAAGCATCAAGCATAGTTACGAGACTAAAGATAATCCTAAAACAATTATACCTCCATTTTTCGCTAGTACTAACTGACTGTGTTTTTTTTGCATGCCTGTATCTCATCGCAGACGACTGTGGGCGTGGTTCCCGCCATGTCGAAACTTACCACGCTCTCCACCGACGCCATAAATGTGTACCGAATTCTTGGCTTCTTTGATGAGGAGCACCTTCCAAAATTAAAAACCTTCCGTCTCCTACATCAGATAGAGTTGTCCTATCTAAATTTGTGGACGCGGCACAGCGGAGTTGAATCTCTCACCGTGACCATTAATCGCATGGTTCGGGAGGAGGAGGATTTCGGTGAAAAACTGGTCGACGTATTTCCTGCCGTTAAGAAATTGGATTTTGTTCTGAGCCGCATGGATAATAATCCTGGTTCCATTCACCCATTAACCAGGATTATCGAACCGTTCCTAATGTGGAATTTGGAACGGGTCAATATTCACGCGAAAAATGTGACACAATCCTCCAGGTTAATTGAAGTCCTGAAAATTGTGCCTTTTCTGAAAGGTAAGAGTTCACAGTACATAGAACATTTTTCAAGCTACACCGGATTGTGTAGCGAGTTATGCATGAAATCGTATCTTTCGCTTAAATGGTCCCTTTGACGAAAAATGAGTAACAATAATCAAAACCGGAATTTCGATAGACAAAAAACATTCGATTGGTTTAAGATTTGTACAATTTGTAGGGCTGATTTTTGTGAGTTTTACTGTGCAAACGGTTTGGCACGACTCCGCCCCTCTGCCCGGTGGGAGGGAAGAAAGTCCCAAAAACCGGCAGCGGATGAAGCAAAAGGATATCGTTTTTTTTCAACAACCGGAATCGATCGTTTTTAAACCTCCAAAAATTAGATCCAAAAAAATTGCTCAAAAACATTGTAATTTTTGAAAATTTTTTGTGTTTTTGGCGTAAATTATCTCACCCTTTCTCCTCCTTGCGGCCCACCAAATATGTTTCTTCAAATGGGCCCTTCAGCGTAAATAAAAGTGCCATGTGACTCCTAATTTATGGCTTAATTTTTGTATAAAGGTTAATCCCAGTGTAGCTTAAAAACGTTCCATCACCTCTTAAAAATTATTCCCAATTTTAAAAATTGATTAGAAACAAAACTAATAAATGATTGCAGGAGCTAAAACTGCCTTGTTCTCGGACGTTTACGTGATGGAGGATGACTTTCCTCCTTACATCGAAAATCTCATCTTGCATAGTAGAGGATTTAAACGCGTAGACATCTTGGGGCGTGTGGTCAGTGAAATAATTTTCAAGTAAACTATAATGTTAATTCAGGAGCCAGAAATCATGGAACGAATTCGACCCATATTTGCAACCAGTGGTGCACCCATTCATTTAAAGGGAGGCGTGTTTTACAAGGACCTCGAAAAACTTAGTTACATTAGAATCATTCGACCAAGTTTCCGAAATCAAACCATGGAGATTCGATACCGGGTTATGCCTTGGCGGAACTATAGATTGGGGGCCGGCCAGGGGGACCGTCAGCCATTCTTTGACACATTTACATACAGTATAGGAGGGAAGTCTTTTCACCCTCATAATTTTTTCACTTAAAGCATTATATTTCTCGAGAAGCTTGAGAAAATGAACTGCAATTTTGCACAATTACTTACCATGATGCAAGGTTTTTGGAACCATACTTTAGATAACGGCGTGGCACAGGAAACGACAGGGTGGAATTATATACAAAATCCCGACTAGAGAAAAGTCTTTCCACCCAGACTAAAGTTTAATGCAACATTCATTTTAAATTGTGTTTGTTATGAAATAGTCAAATTATCATTTGCAATGTTCACCCAGGTCCTCTAGGAAGGCAATAACACCTCTAGGCATCAACACAAAAATTAAGATTGTGTATAAGGTGTCAAAATTCAAATTCAAATACAATTCAAATTTAACGACGTCGCCAGTCCACTCGGATTTGATGGTTTTTGCTAAGAAATTTTAGGCTTCATAATTGACAATAAATGTTCATTAACATTCCGTCCGGTGATTTTAGAGTACAATCCAACAATTAAATCTCGTTTGTTGTAAATCTAATTCTCAAAAACTTTGATCTATGCTTAAATTCACCATTCTGTTTGAAATAAAATTGTCACCACGCGGAAATTTCTCGCGTCACCATTGAATACGAACCTCTAATGTCGCAAAAGCAGTTGGGGTCCATGATTCCTTTAATTATCTCAAAATTTCCGATGCCCTTCTACGACATTCACGCCCATACGTTTCGGTTTCCACCCCCATGCTTAATGGTTTATTTACGGTACTTAGTTTTGTTTGTATCGCCTGGTCATCTCCTTATCCGAGTGACCCGATCTGAACCAAACAACTTGGTCTTGGTCTAGTCGCTCCATGTTGTACATTTCCAGTCTTGAATGTATTGATTTCGATACTTTTTAGCCAATTTCATAACCTTGGTCATATGGGCCTAGGAAATAAATGTTTTTTTCCGCACTGCTGGGTCTTTAAATCCAACTTATTCTACTCAATTCTTTACAGTTCGCACAGAAATTTGAAGGTCGTAGTCTTCCTTCGTTTCCAGTTGATTTTTAGTGCTGCAACCGAGGCTGTAGCTGAATTGAGAAGAGGATGGCGTGATCGATCCTTGGGGCCGTAATGCTTGGCGGTCCATAAGTTAGAAATTTCGCCGCCGTACCAATTTTTTTGTACTTTTGGACTATTCTGCCAACTATGTACTTCTTCACGAGTAGTTTATCATAAACTGTTTGGTATCGAAACCCCTCCTCACGAAATTTTACGACGTCTTGCCCAAGATCTGTGACAAGGCGATTTCCCCTCATTATGAGCTAATATTGATAACAATCAATAATTTGAACATTATACAAACGTTATTTTTCAAAGAATCATACACTCAAAATAAAAATTTGTCGAATCAACACCGCCGGTGTCAATATATGACTTAACCGCCTTGGTTACAATGTTGAATCCGAGTTATGATGATTTTGATACCGGTAGTTTTATAATGGTAGTTTTATAATGTTATGACCGGACGGAGAAAATTCATTACTACTCGGAATTACAATTGTAACCAAGGCGGTTAAGTCATATATTCACACCGTTTTGTTTGGAGTGTATATCCCCTACTGGGTGGAGAATAATTTTCAAGAATGTTTTTAAGAATTACACAATAACAACGAAAATGTCAAAAGGTGGAAAGACTTTTTTCCAGTCGGAATTTTGTATATAATTTCACCCTGTCGTTGCCTGTGCCACGCCGTTATCCAAAGTATGGTTCCGAAAACCTAGCATCATGATAAGTAATTGTACAAAATTACAGTTCATTTCCTCAAGCTTC